AGTGCCTCTGCTGCCGTAGTTTTGAAAGCTCCGCTAATGAGGCATGCTGCCTGTTTTTGTATTGCTGCGAACGGCTTACTGATTGTGCGTGCCTTGTATTTACTGATGAGCATAGGTTGATACCACGCGGAAACCCCAAATAGCATCTGCGGGATTATCACCGCTTGGTAGATCTTTCGCATTGCATAGAGTGAGGCTCCCCACGTTGATCCTGCCAGGCTTCGTAGTGCGTGGAGAGAGACACCGGCCTTGGCCACCGCTTTCTCGCGGTGATGGTGGAATTCCAGACCCGGATCCAGCCAATAGCCTAGGTACCGCTCAGCCGTCCTCGTCGCTGTCACCGTGTGTCCTCGTAGAGAAAGCGATGTGTATTGTGGGTCGACTTCCCTGGTGTTTACAAAATGCACGAGTGCATACTTCTTCGGGTCAAAAACTGATGCATGTTTCTCGGCCCATTGGTCGGCTTTGCGGCATGCCGCTCTGAGTTTCTTGATGGTTTCGCGTTCGCTGTCTCCCTTTGTCATGAAGCAAACATCGTCGACCCACCCGTTGCTAGTCACACCGTTACCGCAGTTCTCAACGAGGTCTGCGTTGTAGATGAGATATAGAATGGGTGAGATCGGTGATCCTTGAGGGATGCCTGTAGGTGTCGGGATTCGATCAGATGTGCCCTCGGGCATGCGGATCCGTGTGCTTCGGTTGGTCAAGAAGGCCCTCACCCAGGGAGCGAAGTGTCCCAGACGTCGTTTCTTGGCGTTGTGTAGTAGACGTTCATGGGAGACATTGTCGTACGCTCCGGACACGTCCAGCATCAGCAGAGATACCACTGGCTTGCCCTTTCCCCATGCAGTTTTGATTCGGTCGATGATAATGTGGATAGCATGATCGGTGGATATGCCCTTTCGTCCGCCTAGATGGGTTCGTGGGAGTAAACCGTTGGTTTCTGCTGCGTAGCTGATCCGTCGCGCGACAACTGCCTCCAGAAACTTTCCGAGCGTGTTCAGCAACGCCACGGGTCTGTAGGATTTTGCGAGCTGGTAGTCACTTTTGCCTTGCTTCCGGAGCACCACCGTGATTGAGCGCTGGAAATGTGACGGGTTGTACCCCGTGTTTATGCATGCGTTGAATAACTGGACCACTGTTTCTAGAATCACCGGTATCTCGATAAGCTTGTGCCAGAGAGAGTTTGGTATACCGTCTTCTCCGGGTGCTTTCCCTGCTTTCGCTCCTCACACCGCCTCCTGTATCTCTTGAGCGGTGCCTGCTGGAAACTCGATTTGCTGTGGGTACAGGAATGAATCTGTGTCGGATAGATCGGCTGGCGGTGGTTTTGGGAAGAAGGCAGTCCGGAATGCCTCTGCCTTTTCCTCAACTGTTTCCGCGAGAGTTCCAGGCATTTAGGGATCTTGTATTTTCAGTGAAGGGGTGATACCCTTCTCATATGCCCCGTCTCGGTTTCTTGCCCATTTAGCCAATCGCCACATACCCTGTGGGCCATCTTCAACGACCTGCTGGACTCGGCGCCGGTGCGCTCTTGACAAGGTTTTCTTGACGAGTCGCGTTTTCTTGTTGCGTGCTTCCGAGTAGCACATCCAGTCGTAGGGGTCTTTGGTTCTCGTGTGTCTGCGACGGAGGCGACGAACTTCTTTGACCGCAACTTTACACTCGTTGTCAAAGTCGGGGTTCGACCGCGCGGATGGTTTTGCCCATGGGGTTGATTCCTCGATTGCTGACTGGATCACACCCATTAGCTCCTGGCATTTGGCTTCTATCCTCTGCGGATCAGCCTGGTATAGACCTCCTGCCTGTAGACCTCCTTCGATCTTCTGGATGAGTTCCTGATCATCAGTTGCGTTCCAGTTTCTTCTCTTCTGTTGTACAGCAATGGGTGTAATAATATCAAGCACAGTCCTGATCGGGAAATGGTCGGATGCGTGCTCGATGTCATCCGCCCTCTCGCAATTGATAAGCCTGTTGACCAGATTGAATGTGATGAAGGTGAGGTCAATCACCGACGACTGATCGTTTCGAGACCAGGTAGGTCTGCCTTGTTGGGTCGTCAACTCGAGTCCCCATTCATTGGCAATTTCTAGGAGTTGCTCGGCCTCCTGATCGGCCCTGGTCCCTGTTCCTCCCCATCTCGGGTGATGCGCGTTCATATCTCCAACGATGATGTGTTCTCCATGAGAACGTTTTGACAGCTCATTTCTTAGATGTCTAAGGGTATTGCTGCCCGGCCTATTGTATATGTTGTGTATGAAGAGATCTGTCCAGTCTCTGCCCTGATGAGCCTTTCTAAGTTTCAGTAACTGGTAGTTCTGTGAGACGAGTTGACACGACCAAGTGCTCGGGTCAAGCCTTTTAGACACAAACAGGCATACGCCTGGTTGGGAGAGATCCGAGGCTTGGACTTGATCGTCCTGGCCTTGGGTTGATCCATCAGCAGCTGCTTTTGGTGGGTAAATTAGCTGGAATGTTGCAGTCGCTGGTTGGTGTGCTGTGTGTTGCAGTTCGTTCTTCCATGGCTCCTGCACCGCGACGACGTCCGCCGCGAGGACATTTGTGTCTCTGAGAAACGTTGCCATCACTGGCCACGATTTGTGTACGTTATATTGAAGAATTTCAAACGATTTCATTGATGAGTTTGTTCGTCATCGCTTCGTTCGCTGGCCTCGTGCCATACTTCATCATTTGGGTCTTCGATTGTCGGTGTATCCGTCGGAAAAAGCGGCGGAGATGATCCAATCGGTATCGCTTGCCGCTGCTTGTATTTCAGAATCACCAATTTGCGGTATTCGGGGCTCTCCGGGTCCAGTTCCTCCTTGTCATCAGGCTCGGACGTGTTACCGGCTCGGACGTGTTACCGGCCTCGTTGATCAATTGGGTAAGTCGGTGTTCTAGGCTATCCTGTTGAGTGTCAGGTTGAGGGAGATTGGCCGGAGTGGGTTGAATGCTGAGCCATCCATTGTCGTCTGGTTGCTCGTCCATGGTGTCGTCCGGCTCGCCTGTGCGGCGCCTTTTCGAGGCCGCTTGGAGCCTTGTTGACCCTTGGCATGCCAGCGGTATCACTGTTGGTTTGGGATTCTTTGGCCTCGTTCTTGAGCCCTTTGGGCGGCCAGGGCCTCTTTTGAGCTGAGTAGGCTGAGTCGGTTCAGTGACCTCCTCTGGTAATGTTTCTACTTCTATCGCTGCAGTCTCCACGTCCATTACAGCATCCTGGGGGTTCCGTGGGGCTCTTCCCCCCGTTGCCCCTCCAGAGCGTGTATCGACGCTTCGAGTCCATTCGAAACCATGGGGTCTGCCCTAGTCGAAGGTGCTTTGTTGCCGGTGCTTGCCGTCACCCGGAGGTGCATAGGAACGCGGTGATATGCAGGGCAGTTGGCCAGCGCTTGCTTGGCTTCGTTCATCGCTGCAACCTTCACCGGACATTCCCGACTTGTAGGGCGATGCCCTTCACCACAATTGGCGCACTTGACTGGTATCGCTTGCCCCTTCGTCGACGGACACTCCCAGGTCGGGTGTCCGTTGGCGCAGTGACCGCATTTGAAGAAGTTGGAACAGTGTGACTGGATATGCCCCGGCTTTTGGCATTTTCTGCATAGCTTTATCCGCCCCTCACGACAGAATCGTGATGCATTGTGAATTTGCTTCCCCCACACGACTCCCGAGATGATCGCGCGATTAGCCACGACTGGGCTGGTGAACTCGATCAGGATGGAGCCCTCCGCCCTCTCCCCTGGACGGGTCATCCATCCTAGATACTGGATCTTAGCGCCTTCGCCCCAGTTGTTCTGCGCGAGCAGCTCGGCCGCAACATCAGCCATCGTCTCCGGAGTAACCTTCATCGATTTCACGGGGATATGGTACGCCACCACTCCCCATGACGGTTCTTGGATCACCGAGCCTGGTCCGAAGGCTCTCAGCCACGCAGCATGTTTGCGGAGGGCCTCTGCCCCTGCAGCACTGTTGGCAATCATTGCCACATCCCCCGATGGCAATTTTCGAGCAGCGACAAATGAAGCCTGTCCGGCCAATACCCCTGAATTCTTCTGACGGGCATTTAATACCCTCTGCCGTTCGGCCCTCTCGACCAGATCTTTTGGTGTTAATCCACGGACTTGCTCGCGGTTCGTTCCGACCTTGACGATGACCTCTCGGTCCTCGCGAAGTTCGATTTCCGGTACTCCTGGAGACAATGTGCCGCCGCTCCGGGTGATGGGAGCCCCAGCCGTAGCCAAGTCGCGCTGCCATTCTTTGGCCCGGAAGTTGCGCCACGCTGCCGCAGAGTTCGCCGCGGGGGTAGATAGTGCCGTCGATAATGTGTTCGTTGTCTTTTCAATGGTACTAATTCGCTGGTTCAGGCGTTCGGTGCCGGCGTTGATCTTGGTCAGCGCCTCAAGCACCTTGGCCATCCCCTGGCCGTCTCCCCGTTGGGCGTTGAGTGCGTACTGGCGGACAGCACGAATATATCCAGTGACATACCGGTCCTCCGTGCTATTGTTCTCGATGTGGTTGAGCACCCTGCGGGCCCCTTCCGCGATGTCGTCCATGGGGTGGATCCGCGAGGGCCGTGGTTTTTGGTGTTCCTCTCCTGTCAGGGGGCAAAATCCGTGCGTTCGCACCCGTCCCAACCATCGCTGCCATCTCCCCTATAAAAAGGGTATCAGGTCGTAGCGCTTGAGGTTACGATTACGATGAACTAATTCACGAGGCTGTGAGACTTCTGATTGGCTAGATATTTCAAGAAAACCTTTTTTCAATCGTAGGTTCGGAGTCTCCACAAAGACGAATAGTTGGTTGACCCATCTGCTTCCACTGCCACCTGTTCCAAATTTGAGAACAACATTTATCGGATAAGATCAAGATACAGGTATCTTCGGAGTAGCGTCCGAATGACAAATCATTAAAAAGGTCAAACAAGAGTGACCTCAGGCCAGCGCTTGTCGACGAACTTTAATTTTCGAACTGTCCTGTTGACCGCGCCGATAAGCACATAGATCTCAAACGATTGATGACCGCTTTCTACCGCTGCGTAGTTTGATATTGTTCTGCTTCAAATAGTCATCCGCAACCTGCTCCGCTGTTGCCCGGAACTGAACAAGCTGCATTCCAGATCCCCAGGGAGATGTCACTGGCGTGAATGTAGGCGAAAACTCTGGTTTGATTGTTGTTTCTGACTCCGAGCTGTATTTGGGGATTTCAATAGGCTTTGAAGGCTCTGGTGACTCATGTTTCACGAATATTTTCATACTTTTGTCCAAGTCATGGCCGATGTCTATGATCTGGGCATCGTCGATGCTAAAGTCGGCCTTGTTATCAAGCCCGTCAACCTCATCGAAATCGCTATCGGAGTCGATACTGGAGTCAATACCGGAGGCGGCCATGTTGAGAACCGGGGTTTTTGGCATCAGGCCTTTGTCTTCAGAGTCGGAGTGGCTATTTAAATCGGTCTTGCAAGTCGGTAGAAGACGTAATCTGTCAACTTCTCGTTGACGCTTCTTTGATTCTTCGCGCTCTTTAGCCGCAACCAAATCGAGCTATTTGCGTTGCACTTGCTCAAGCTCTCTTTTCTTTTCCCGATTTGCCATGGCCGCAAGTTCATCTGCTACACCAAGTCGGTAACTGAATGTGGGTGTGCCGCCTTTATAGGCACCCACTCTCTCTAGGTTTTGATTGTGTGCGAACTCAAACCCCATCGCTGCAGCAACAGTGTTGTCGGCAATTCCAAAAAATGTCCAGTGCACACTTGTGCGATAATTGGTTGAAAAAGACTTGCAGTCGAACAAGGTACTCAATGTTGTTGCCACCTTCATCGCAAAAGCCTCCTTCATAACCCTTTCCGATGAGCTCGCGGTCTTTGTAATGCTCACAACGCTCCGTCCACCATAATGTGCCTTGCTGCTATTGTCATCACTGGCCATGAGGTCCCCTTGGGTCACATTGTGCTGTCTCATGAGCTTTTGAGATACAAAAAGAGCGGCTTTGGCTTCCGCCTCCGACGCGTTGGCATGATAGGAGCGGCTTAGACATTTTTGGATCCGGTCCAAAATCCTCTTGTCGACAGTAGATGCGGCCTGGCTTCCAAGTTCGCGAGCAGTTTCAATCACGGTTGCTTTTTGAAGAGGCTTTCTAGCAGATCTCTTTCTTTCCGCTTGGGAAGGTTTAGTGGTCATTGTGGACATGGGCGTTTGATAATTTGAGGAAGAGATAATGATCAGAGGGGAGAAAGAGACGCTGCCTTTATAGGACTTTGTTTTGCAGGATTCGTAACGAAAAATTGCTAGTAGGTTTTTGGAAGATGACTCCTTCACTTGTTGGCACGCGACCATGCGAGCATTGTGATGAACAGGGTCTTTCGCGATTGGGTGTGTATTTTTCCAACTTTATCTGCCATGTAGAGCATACTTCACCTGCTACGGTGAAATGTTAACACAGAATAAATCTCCAGTATTCAGACCCTTAAATTGACCGTAAAGACCGTATGGTCAAACTCCAGGGAAAGCCATTGTTAAAGAAGCCTGTCTCCGCTTTCCGCGCACCACATAGATGTTCAAAGTACATGGCTCTCCACTGGCCAAAGCCACAGTGTTTTGTGGCTGGGAAGCGGAACGTAGAACCTACGACTGAAAATACTAGCGGCTGATAATTAAAGGGTAAATGAAATCATCCGTCCATCCATACTGTAGATAAGACGTCGAATGTGTGCAGTTCTCTTACCTCGCGTTTTGTACTGTCCTCATGATCGGACAGGGTAGGGGTATGAAACTGTAAGAGATCGGCGGACCCGCATTGGTGTATGAGTGGCACTGCCAAATGATCAGTCAATTCACCCCCCTCAATTTGCTGTCGCGAGTCCTCAAGATGTGATCATGTGATCTAGGCATAGTGTGTTTATTAAGTGCAAAAGAAAGTTGTACTGGATGCGAGGCAAATGGCTGAACTGTATGACCAGCCTCAAGGTTTTATTAAGATCTAGCAAAAACACACGAGCTAGGAATTAGCTACTTTGGTCAGAGGAATATTTCATTGTGGCTAGAAAGCGAAAACGTAAGAATGCGGATAGAAAATGCTGGAGGCTGGTAATTTAATAGGTTTACTATCCAAATTTCACGGGTGAGAGTGGAATGGAGATTCGACAGGTAGGCAATCTCGTCAATTATATTTTGGCCAGCAGTTATTTTTCACATACCCGTTCCACGGGCCGGCCTGGCAATTTGGTATATATGGACATCTTTAAGATCCCCAGAGCACTTGGTGTGTAAATACAGAAAACTGTTTAGTTCAAACCCCGGCTGAGCAGATTTTCATGTCGTCAATTCTACACCCTTCCCTGCCACTAATTAATTGCCTCTATATTACTACAGTGTGCTCAACCAGTTTCTGTCATCCTATAAATTAGACGTCCAAATTACCATCAAACATCGCTGTTAGATTAGGTAGGACTTTGAATTACCCATGTTTCACCATGCAATAAAATTGTGTAATTCCAGCCCTCCGCATTTTCTTACCAAAATATCATTTTTTGACTTCCCAGCTACATTCCGGACCAGAGCAGAAGCTAGCCATATTTTTTTTCTGATTTAAGCACTTGATTCAAGATTTAACCTTCGCTGAACCAGAGCTGGAGCCGCCGCCAGCAGATTTTGTCGACCTGGGTTTGATCGCCTCAAGCGGGACTTCGCCAGGAAAGGGCTTTCGGGCCCACACTCTTCGCCTGCAATGCTAGTCAGTGGTGTAATTCAAGAAGGACAGGGTCAATCAAGACTTACGTCTTGTGATATGTGTGATAATGAGGGTTTTTTCAGTTCAGTGCGCATCTTGGCACGAAAAACATGAACCTGGTTAAGTGGATCCATTCCTGAACTCAATTCTACGTATCTTTTACACTGGCTGTCCAGGGTAGCAATTGACCAGGCGGTGGGATAAAATAAAAACCATCCTGTTACACACGGCTGTGTTGACCAATATCGTTTTAGCCCATCATCACCGATCAGGAACTAATGTTTGTCTCGTGGTAGCCCCCACAATTGCAAAGATATCATAGCCAGCAGTTGTTGCTACAAATTCATCTGTTCCATTCTACACGTGTGGGAAAACCGCTTTCTAAAGAATTTTACTGTCCATGCTGTAGGCTGATTATGCGAGTTGTTCAGTTGCCTTGACCAGTTAACCTGAGTATGGAACATCAATGGACATAAGTTGTTGACGGGAGAATCGTCGCCCTTTTTTGCACTACCTACTGACCTTGGAGGACTTTTATCTTCCCATAGTGTGGATCCCTCAAATATAAACTGAAAGTTCCCTGGGGTAGCTACTTTTATACCGTAAAGGGTGCATAAACCTTAACAGGCCTGGTCTGTTAAAGTTATTTCTCATCGGTTTAGCTAGCCTAGCGGTAAAATGCAAGCAAACGTGATCCCTAACAATATTTAGATAATATTGATTTGAAAGAGTTTTACTCTCAAATGCAACTGTAGTGGCTCCTAGGAATTGATGTGTTGCTAGGGGTTTCGGAGATCAAGCATACATAGTAGCTTGGGTGTTTGATCGCCGACCAAACACTGTGCCTTTTCGGCCAGATGGCGTAGTGGTAAAACCGAAGCATCCACAAACCGTCACAGCAGTTAAGGAAGCCCCTAGGAGTACTATGGAAATAGTATCAAAAGAAGAGAAGGAGATGAGGAGTTTCACGCCCAAAGACGACAGGAAATAGGGGACCCTATTCAACGGGAAGACTACTCTTTGAAATGCTCGAATAGGGCTTCACCAACACATGATCGCTCAGCATCTGACGCAACGCCATCTGGGTAGCAACAAGGTCCGACCCATTCTCTTTTCCTTCTGGGAAAGGTGGTCAAAAGCGGGGGATATATTCTTTTTGGAGAAGCTTGGGACAATTTATCGCGTCGAAAAAAGGGTGTGATTTGACTTCTTCGGACGAATTTGCTCCTAGGCGTTGGAGCGGATCCCTGTCGAGGATGCGTGTTAATAGATCCTCAGCAGTTCGCGGGATAGGTATCCCATTGGGTGAAACCGGGAAAGTAATAACTTCGCCGTCATTGTTGTCTGTAACGTTGAACGGAAGGTAACCGGTTAGCATTCGGTACAGGATGACACCAAACGACCACCAGTCCGCTGCTTTCGTGACAGAGGGGTGGCCGAATTGCGTTTCCAGCAGCTCGGGAGCTAGATATTCATCGACTTTTTGCTGGCTGGACTCTGAGACGTATAAATCAGCTTGAGAGGGTGGAGTTCGCAAACCTAGAAGTAATCACCGAGCCGCTTTTGCGTGAAAATATCAGTATTACCGAGGGAAAGATAGCCGACGGCGTCTATGTAGATATTCAAAGGTTGCAATTTGCTGTGAATAATTTCGAGACTGTGGAGGCATTCTAAGGCGCAGAGCAATTGAGCCGCATAAAATTGAGCCCAGAAAGGTCAAGACAATACCGGAGAATCCCATGTCCGTCCTTTTATATGTAAGTACCATATTCACCGCGGAGGACGCCCTGGACTTATCCCGAAGGGGATTCTCTATTAGTCGCGATCTCGCTGTCTTGTGGTTTGCCTATGACAATAGACGCCGGTGGCTGGGACCTTATCACGAAATATATCGCGGAGAGTGAGGCTCATTATTTCGACAATTGTTGGAAGCCGGATGAGGGTTAAATGCTACTTCCTTTGTTTCCCAAACTCTTTCTCATCGTGAAGGTCATTTCCTTCGGTAGTCACGTTTACGATAATCAAGGAACAGAGGTAGCGGGGAGCAAGAAGTTTATATCCGGCTTTTCTCTTCATAGTAATTGGCGGAGCAATGAATTGCCTATTCGGGTCTCCTTCTTGCCGTTCCCGGTTTAGCGCCCCAATACACAAAACCGTCACGTAACCTCTGCTCTGTCGCCGTTGATATGAAAGGACTTACCGCCCTGCCGCTCAGTGGCGCGCATATTTGCAATTGTTCATGCATTCAGAAAAGCCAGTAAGCGCTGTGACCTTCGCAATCACTTTTCACCACATGATTGTGGGCCAGTAGCGGAGTACGTGTAAAGAGGTTGTTTGGTAGGGGCATTGGCGTAGAAGAAAATCCTGGGGACGATGTAAGCTGTTTTTCCATTAGAGATGGAATGGAATTCAGGCTCCGTGATTAGCATCCAAGTTTCAGGCGGAGATCCCCATCTTAGCTTTCTTCACCGTAGTTTTCTGTTCTCAGCGCCTTCACTTCTGAAAACCCTCAAATTCATTACAGATCTGCTCGGATTAAATAATGGCGCACCCATCCTTCGTCTCTTTTCGAATGGTATCTATAAATAGGAGATGAGTTGCTCCATCTAATTCGGCCGAGAGACAGAAGCGTGGATGTTGTCAATTCTATAAGTACCGCAGAGGTATGAAAGAAATTTTGTTATGTCTTTCAGACGGTATATGAGGGGGCTTTAAGACTAAAGATTTAGGTTGATTGGGGTATTCAAACCTCATTTTTAGAACGCGTACGACCACAGATGGATGATATTAACAAAATTCACTAAGCAACACAACTGCCCATATGAAACGATTAATCGACATCGTTTTGTTTGCAATTTCCAAAGCCACACCAGCAGGCAGAATATATAGTTTCGTCGGCTCTGGAGTCTCCGGCTTTTGTACCCAGGAAAGCTTATTTTCAAGCATGATCACGCTGCGTGGCTTGGAAAGCGAAGCGATCTGATGCGACCGCAGGTTGTTGGAGCACCTGTTTGATGGTTTTGTTCTGTCATCCTGATGTGCACTACCCATGCATTAGGGTTAGACCTGTATCGATATTACGGGATTGCGACCCCACACAACCCCACAACAACCAAACCAATGTACACGTGCTACAAGAACGATGAAAGTTGATTTGCCCAGAAATCAATGGCTCAATTTTCGATTGGATAACACGCTTAGTGATTTGATTGGCTAGCATCGTGGCAGGTGCCCACCCATGCGGGTTATCGCATCATCCATCAAACCTAGTCAGCATTCCAGCCTTGGAGAGATTTAGTGGCAAACTCCTACGTTTATTACGAGATTAGTTTTTCAAAGGGGCTGATTACAGTATGACCTGGTTGTCTCCGTCTTCACACACTCGGTTGGAGTTGATGCCATGGTCTTCCTCTTGTCACTACCTACAAGGGATATGAATCTATAACGGGAAGGAATATTGTTGTCCTTGGGACGAGGATGAACACCCTCCCGGTTGCTGCGGCCTTTAGTGGGCTCGCTGTTTTCTTTGTCGTATTGCGGCTTTGCACTCGGTACATGTTAATCCGCAGTGTTGGCAATGATGACTATATGGTTTGCTTATCTCTGGTTTGTCTTCCCTCGGCCACTAAGCTTGCCGAATGCTAATTAAAGTAAACATTACGTAGTTTTTCGCTATCGCTGCGTTATTTGTGCTCGTATTTGGTAAGCACGAGTTGGATTTCCTTTCCACACAAGTACAACCAAGTACAACAACTGATAACCGTAAATCAGAGGTACATTACGGTCTTGGAAAGCCGCAAGAGATCCTTCATCCCAATGAGACAGAAAAACAATTCTTGGTACGTTTGGACACAGCATGCTACGTTGTCAGACCAATAATTGGCGTAGCCTGCGCAAATGAGAGATAGACATGCTAAGTTGCGATATAGTTTTTGTGGTTGAGTATTCCATTATACAGCTTGTCATTGACATTCACCAAAGCCTCAATTCTTCTTCTGTACATTCGGATCTTTGCGCTGCCTCGATTTATTCTTATGTCGCGTATCGCGCTAGGCGTCATAAGCACATATGGACTTTGGTGTGTTCTCAGCTGCATCCTGAACTGTATCCCGGTAAATGCATTCTGGGACACCTCAATTCAAGGTCGCTGCATAAAAAGGGAATTTTTATGGTTTTTTAATGCAGGTATAAATATCGTTACCGACCTAGGCATCCTGGTAATGCCTATTCCCGTTTTGTCTCACCTGCAACTTTCTTGGAAGCGAAAGTTTGGCCTCATGTTAATCTTCGCTGCAGGCAGTTTGTATGTTTATTATGTATCTTCAACCTATCGTATACTAACCAGGAAGATAGCGCCTGCATTACAAGCATAATCCGCCTCAAGGCAGTGGCCATAGCAACCAATTCCACCGATTTGACAAGTCAGTCATCTCGATACGACCCACTATAGAGACTAATCGCTTTTTTAGGATCCCTAGCTCCGATTGCAACTTGGTCTTACGTGGAGATGAATATGGGAATCATCTGCTCTTGTCTCCCGCCGTTGCATCCGTTATTCAGACGTACACTTCCATGGCTTCTTTCTCCGAGTCGCCGATGCTGCGGCAGTAACGATCCGATGAATCCTGAATGAGCTGCGCTGTAACGGGTACTGCTGGACAGGGAACGTAAATCAGAATTACAAGGGCAGGTTTTTGCGGGATATCGAAACTTGCCAGAGTTGACCCCAACTCGTCATGGGCTTGGCAAGTTCAACTCTGTTGGAATTCAGAGGGAGGAACAGCTCGTTGCTTCCTGCGTGACAAACGAACGGGCCATTTCCCCAAATGATCGCTGAATGCTGAAGTGAATGCACCTCTGATTTCTAAGAAAATTTAAAGTGAACATATGATCTAGGCATGGTGTGTTTATATAAATTGCAAAAGAAAGTTGTACTGATGCGAGGCGAATGGCTGAACTCAATAACCAGTGTCAAAAGTTTCATTAGGCTTTAACTGTCGGGACATACTCCCGTCAGAATAAGCAAAGACAGGTTGTACGTAATCTTGCTAAGCAACGGCTCCCGCCGTATGGATTCAGGGGTATTGGGCCTTGACCTAGGAGGAACATCTACTTTACACGAATCAAATTGACTTTTGCTTTGGAAGCATAACCACTGTACACAGTACCTAGCTGGTGATACAAACATTAACAAAAACACACGATAGGAAATTGGCAACTTTGGTTAAGAAGAAATCAGTAAGTTTTGCCGATAGAAAATGCTGCGGGCTGGTGATTAATTATGTTCATTAACCAAATTGCATGGAAGAGTGGGGTGGAGATTCGACGGGTAGACATATCTGGTCAATTAGTTTCCAGGCCAACCAGCACTGATTTGGCCTGACAATTCGATTTATGGTCATCTGTAGGATCCTTGGAGCATTAGGTGTGCGAATGGAATAAATGCAGTCAACTGTTTACTTCAAACCCCGGTTGAGCAGATTGTTCATATTGTTGGATTTACACACCCTTCCTTGCCATTAATTAATTGCCTGTTTATTGTTATAGTGCCCTCAACCAATTTCTGTCAACTATATAAACTTAGACATCCAAATTGCCATCGAATATCGCTGTTAGATAACCTAAGTGGCCATTTGATCCGATCTGATCCACTGTGGAAAGGTAAGCCCCCGACGGCATCATCAACTTTCAGCAACTTGCTATACTAACCCTGTATACCCCTGAACGGTCCTCTGCAGCAACCCTGTTCTCAGTAGTTGTCTCGAAGCTACTGAAAAACCTCTCCGCGCATGCCAGAGTAGCAATCACCGTAGGTCTTCCATGTGGTTGAAGACGTCTTCTTGTAGAACGCGAGCAGTACCACAGTATGAACTCTTTGATCATGGTAATATCGGGAGCAGAAGTTTCCTTCTCCAGCTTATAGCCAACTGAAACACACCCGCTGTCAACAAGAAACCTGAGGAGTTAGTAAATGAGGGAATTGAGAAAGCATATCGAGTCTACTCACTCAACCCAAATACACTAATGAGGGAAGAGCGCAAAATGCACAGCGGTTTAGGTGCGAATGTTCGAAAAAGACGATCAACGCGTGTAAGACTGAAAGAGATTAGCAGGCTTGCTTGCGCCGAGATAAACACATGGGTAAAAAACACCAAGTCTGTGTCACAGGGAGGAGGTCCGTTCTGAATAAGACAATGAGTCTCAAATGCACAACTACGATCAAATTCAAATTACCCTGCCCAATAAGGAGCTGTAGATCAGCCTATAAGCATCCTGTTCTAGGGGTAAGTCGCCGCCCCATTTTCTCGACCTGAAGTAAATAAAGTATGGGCTCTTCCACAGAAAGTAGGGGTGTGCCACGCAATCGGAAAGCACATTCCGTGCAATGTTCAATTAACTTTCTTTGTGGGATTGTGGGTAATTTAGGGTTGCCTGAACGACTAAACCCATCAACCTATAGTATGATCTCCTTGGGCTAACGAGAAATTCCATGAGCTAAACATTTCCGGCGCAAACACTAAGTATTAACATCCGTCATAATGTCCGTAACTGCAGTTAAAGGTGATATTTACGACACTTTCATGGATCTAGGAGACAAAATGAAGTTATCTATTGCAAGTCAAAGGAGAATAACTGAGGACAAAATCTACCGGCCTCATTGCTCAGCCAACTGAGATGCTGATCGAGTATAATTACATTCCGCATAAAAGCCTGTCTGGGATAGGATGCCTGCGCTCTTGTGAAGATCCTTCGACGAGTAGTAGCAATACCAATACTCGGTCGGTTTAGATAGCACGAATGCGAGCAAGGTGATTTTAGTGCTCATAATCAATGGTACTCACCTACGATCAAGTAAAATCATATTTCAGCTGGTAGATGCAGGGAAGTATATCGTGTTTAGCCAAGTGTATCTTCTCTCCATCATCTAGATTGTAAGAATGACTTCAGATATCGCCCCGTATGAAAAGAAATAAGGTCAAGTGTACTTTAACAACAATCTGAGATAGCAATTCAAAATACTTTCGCACCCCGCACAATCCAACCTCTGAAAAGGTGACAGATTTCCCTAGACCAAGTAGAGTCATTGATAATCTTAAGAGCGACGCGTCTACGAGGGCATCTTGAACTGATTGACATTAGTGGAAATCCGCGTTCTCTGTTTATCCATTTGTATTCTTCTTTTTATCATCTGTATCGTTGAAATCACTCTAGGTATGGCCCGCATGAACAATAACTGAACTTTACAGGATTGAAAAATGGTGCATTTTGATATCTTTTTATTTTTATTTTTATTTTTCCCCTCAAACATGCTATTGCAAGAATGCGATGAACAGATACGGTTAGATGATTGTTTATTTTTGACATTTATCACCAACTAGATTCAATAGTCACTCAATAGCTCGTCTATTCCTGTGCTATTTCTTTGTAACTATATGAATTGTTCCTTCTTTTCACGAGTGAAAGCGAGTTCGGATTTTCGCACCAAGTAAGTAAAGTGGTAGCACGAGCAGATAACTTGCCCACAGAGCTCCTGCCATAGCACCAAATTGCTTTAGAGGACCATCACGTAAGTACCAATCCATTGACCGGAATGACACACCAAAGGCCAGAAGGTTTTTGATGACGTTCACCATCAACGCTGTATGTGCAGCACGGGTGGGATAACAGTCAACCGCGTAAGTGAGGAGAATATTAGCAGATGCAGTCAGACCAAGTGACAGCATACCCCATCCAATGGCTTGTCCAACCCAATGAGTGCGATAGCTCATAGTGAGCCCAATAATGAGAGCACCAGCAGGGCTGAGAACACCACCAATGGTGACTATGAGTAGTCGACTTTCTGGGATATGAATACCCCCATGTCGTTGGGTAGAACGGGCGGACAATTTGTCTACTAAAATGCCGCCAATTGGGAGACCAATCATTAGTCCAACCAACGGAGCAATATTCAAAAGGCCGATGGCTCTTGCAGTCCACAACATGGGTGGCTCTTGGAAGACATTGGAGAACACAATGGAGCAGGCAACGGTCCATCCAATCGTCAGGCCAAATACAATAGTTGTGACGAAAACAGCAGGCTGAGTAAGCATCAAGAAGGGCACATATAAACACTGGACTGCAGTTTCATCTCGGTTCCAATCTGAATTTCGAACCTTAAAGGATCGAGACACCCATACGTTACGAAGATTAACCTCTTGTTGGGGGTTGGAGGTGAAGTCAGAACTTTCGATAAGCTCAGCATCCTTCTTGGAGGCTGGCTCCGCAAGCTGGTCAGGAAAGCTGATGGAGAGTGAGTTAGTGGTAGATTCCGGGAGCATCAAGATGCAAAGCAGCATGATGGCCCCAGCAAAAACTGCCAGGAACTTAAAGTACCATTGCCACTCGCCCGTCGCGGTTCCGATAAGCCCAGCTATAACGGGTCCAATAGCGGATCCGGCTGCCAGGAATCCTACATAGATGACCATGGCCGAAGCAAGGTGTTTCTCGTGAAATATTTCCACGATGACCTCCGGGCCGAGGGCTTCGACGACTCCCCTGGAGAGGCCACCAACGAGTCTTGTCGCCATGAGTGAATGAAAGGTCGTCGCGTACACGGCCCAAGCATTGGAAGCAGTGAACACAGCGAGAGATATGAGGATTTCATATCGTTTCCCGATGTATTTGGATGCCACAACCGCGAACATGTTCTGCCTTTGCTCAGATTAATTCGTCAACATACGATAGAATTCTCACGTACCGAAATCCCAAGGGCCAGCAGGGCATATGATGACAAAGTAGAGACTTGGCCAGTGCTGACTTTGAAATCCACGATGATCAGGCCGAACAGGGGCGTAATGCCGGCAGCAAACATGTTACCCAACATGGTGTAGGCACTGACATTCAACAGAACAATTATTCGCCACCATAAAGGCCAATCCTGCGTATTTCTTGATTAGACACAATGCAAAACGGTTTTGAGGGTGGTCCAGATTCCATACACGGGGGCTGATCATCGCGTCGTTCGGCGAAGATGCGCGTTCCATGGTTTCTGCAAACCACTGAGCAAGGTTAATTTCAAAGTCAGGGTCACAGAATGTGAAAATTGGATGAGATTATGAACGACTGAATCCTTTGAAGAAAGTAATAGCTTGAAGTACAGCTGTCATAGATCGCAGGGGATCACAGGACAAGGAGGGATGAACTGTTGCGGGGAAAAGAGGAACAAGAGCCTTTTTAAGTATTTGAATTCAGAACCGGGGAAACAGAGTATGAGTATCGGTATTGATAATGCAACGGCTCGAACGGGCAAGCAAGAACCTACGCCCCATTGTATGTCTCAATTCCAGCTCCCGGCCTATCCACTATATTCCCCGCCAACAGCAACATCGTGTGGCGCACTGGGACAGGAGGTCTTCGACTCTAGACATTGCGGGGAAGTCCTGGGGGGACGAAGAGGGGGTTGTCGGGGCTTGTCTGACATTTTACACCAGAGTCATCACTGACTCAAACTATATCAACAGGCACAGGTAATATTGTTAACCCCCTTCCAGTAGGAAGTGATCTGAAGATTCCATAAATTAACCCCAGGCACTTGTCCGTGATGTCCGATTTTCGGTTCCTCTCCGGGGAGAGAACAGAAGTTCTTTCACTTGAACGTTCCATGTCCCCTTTCTCCACTTTACTCTAGTTGGTAAAGCCGTGGTCTCGATTTACCAATTTGCTATAACTATTGGTTTTCTTGTGTCGTCTGAGCCACAGCCGGGAACTTCGGACAGGGACAATACCAGCTCCTTCTGCTTTCCGATATTTACTCCAGCTGATTTTGGACAAGGATTCCAAAGCCACACACCGCTTTTCACTGCCATGCCAATGTTTTGGTCAGCCTATGGGTGCCTATGAGTAGGGACATCTAGATACGCATGGTAAGAATTACACAGGGTCCCATCCGTGTATTTCTTTGACATACCATTTGTACATGTACTTACACCGTTCGTTACAATCGTAATGGTTTTTTTTCCTGGTAGAAAAGCATCCCCGGAGCGTAGACAGCGCGGCGCAACTGCTGCAGGATCTCGAAGATAGCAAGACCCTGCCGCTCTGGACCCAGATGACGAGACTGAATCCCCCGGAGCCGAACCCCACGGCTGTTCCCTTTGTGTGGGTGTATGACAGCACCCACTCTAACCTGCTGCGCGCTGGTCACTTAGTCACGCAAAAGCAGGCAGAGCGGAGAGTCCTGATGCTGTGAACCCTGCTTGAGGTATGCCCCCACCTGGTATGATTGGCGTGGCGTAAAATTGTTAGTGACATCCCGAGTAGATGCCCCTTATACCACCGATGCGCTCTACGCTGGCCTGCAACTGGTGATGCCGGATGAGACCGCCCCAGCCCAGCGACATACCGCCTTCGCGATGCGCTTATCGAGGGCAGCGGAGGCTTTACAGCGGTGCATGACAGACGCATCCGCATGCAGAAAGGTAATGTGATTCTGACGCCTACTTGGAACTATCACGATCACGGCAAAAATAGCAGCGGCCCGCTGATATGGCTGGACGGTCTGGATCTGCCCAACTTCCGACTCTTGCCAGTTCATTTTGTCGAGTACTTCAATGAGCCTCGCGACGCGGCCAAGGGTCTCAACCATGCTGCCTCTCCCATCGTCTTCTCCTGGGCCAAATGAAGGCTCGGTTGGATGGGATGAAGGGTGATTCGGCCACACAGCGCTACCCGAAGGCCAATGACCGAGAAAGTAACCGCTATAGTCCCAAGCTTTCTCGCTGACAGTTTAACTTAGGAGGGAAATGATACTGAGTCGTGTTCTGGGCGGCAGTGCAGAGAGGCTCAATGCGACCACCTCGTCCCCACTCTGGCAAGACACCCTCTCTGGGGAACTGATAGGGACACCTCAACTTTCACTGCGGACACCTCATCTGCTTATATAATCGTTGTCTCGTGCAAATGCCACAATAGCCACGGCCACAGCCTCAAGGTTAACTATCTAAAAAATCAAGCGTTCCTTGCTACAGTACATGTTCGCAAAGTATGACCAATTTTCCCACAGTTAGAGCATTTTACTGCCCTCTTCTGATTCTTCTCCCCATTGACTTTCTTATCACTTGTCTCACCCACACCCACCTCAAACGAGCATCGATCACGCTTCTCTATCCTCCCTGGATCTGCGAATGGAGATTGTCTTTTCTGAGACTTGAATAGTGGGTTTGGCAGTCGAGGTTCCAAAAGGGGTAGACATGTAGAGCCATGCCTAGCATTCGTATACCAGAATGAATGGACCTCCTGAAGTTCAATCGAAATACTGCATTGAAGAAGAACGGTCAATCGATGAGCACAAGGCAAGCCCATTGTGACAGTCCAGACATTGTTGCATGCTGGTAGAGGTGAACGCTCTGTGGCGTACCTAGCTTTCTGTAACTGTTGCTCAATAAGCTTAATAGCATGTCGAGTAATTTGTGTGGTGACCTTTGAATAAATCGGGCGTGATGCGACAAGAGGATTCTCTAAACGGTCACGCGCAACGTCCAACTTGAGAATGTCAATTTGAGTTTGGAGGGCTCGCTTCACTTGTTCAAAGACAATCAGCATGCTGCCAGATGAGGATCCGATATGCTTTTTGATAAAGGCATGTGAGCCTTCAACACGTGAAGTTGCAGCGTTTCCAAGATGCAGATGTTGCCTAGTCCAGGCGACGACAAATTTTTGTTTATGAATAAGCCACACCCCCTTCACATAGTGAATAACAGACTGATTTTTCGCGCACTTATAGACTCAAGATCAGCAAGTCGTTTATTATATTCATCTTCTGTCGGGGAGTGGACAAGCTTCATCCAAAGACCGTAGAATTCATCAAACCCTTCCGAAGTGGCAAATTGACCTTTAGCTCTTGCAGTCACGTTCTTATTGATATGCCAAATGCAAAGTAGGTGCGGATTCAAAGGGCAGACTTTCTCGATAGCATTTACTAACGCGAGATCTCGATCGGTACAAAGAACTGGAAGATGTTCAGAGCGCTGGAGAAACGAGAAGAAAGTTTGTAAAGCCCACACATAGCTCTCAGTGGTCTCGTTGTGCATAAAGCACAATGCAACGCTGAAGGTAGCATTCGATGGTGATACTCCAACAATGTGAAGAAGAGGCATTTGATATCGATTTGTCTTATACGTACAATCTAAGACGAAGACCCTGTTGTATCTGTTGGCGAACTCAATCGACTCTCTATGCGCAAATATTAGAAACATTGCATGGCCTTCAGAGTCTTGCTTGAACCCGAATCTCCATTCCTCTTGAACCAACAGGTCATGAAGATATTCAAGAGGTGATTTCCCGCCTAGCTTTTCCCGGCGGATCGTCTGCCGCTTGTTGTAGATATCGCGAGATATCAATGGAATTGAAGGTTCTTTCTCACGAAGAAGAGCCAAAATGTCTCTCGGTTGTGTTCCGATCTCCACCATTTGGCTGAGGTCTTGTAATTGGTCACTTGTAAGCTGGCGGGCTTGTGGATGACCCATAAGATCGTCAGCCTCATGGTTGTGAGTGGGACATCGAATTTGTAACTCCCATCTGTTATTTGGGAGCCTCTTTCCGTAGAGCTTGAACGGACAATTAATTCTCCTTGTGGTGGTAAATCGCTGCTTTGCTCCGTCTGGAGCTGTCAATCGATCCCTGTGTTGTCCCCCTCGATCACAGCCTAGAATGACTTGTCTGTTGGCTGTTGAGCGATGTATAGTGATAACATAGCCATGCCGGATAGCATGTTGACGAACAGAGATGAGCAACCCCTCGCGGCTGTTGAAGATGTCTTCTTTAGGGGGTTCCATGGTCTCCTAAGTTTCTACTGGGAGATTGAAATAAACCGGGAAATTTGTTTTGACCAAGGGAGATGGAATGTGTGGCATTTGCACGAGACAACGATTATATAAGCAGATGAGGTGTCCGCAGTGAAAGTTGAGGTGTCCCTATCAGTTCCCTCCCATCGACATAGCTTATGTAACTAGAGTGGACCCAAATAACGTAACGTATTTCACATGCGAGTGGCCACCCCAAGCGAGTGGCCACCCCAAAACACCATAGTAAATGCGATAAATTACAGCTTTATATTTCAACAACCATGGCCTATGAGTATTTTTCTTCTTATCAGAATGTTTTTCAGGTGATATCTAGCCTCTTTATGGAGATTGGAGAACTTCTATGACTTCGTGATTGAGAGATATATATTTATAGCTCATAGCAGTGTAATTTTCAGTAATTTTTGAAATGAGGATAATACGGCCTTTTGATATCCTTGAAATTGAAGCACAGTGCTAATACGTCTTATCAAGGAAGGCTTCCAGGGATTGTTTCGTGGGATGCACGAGATTTCTTATCGCCAACTTCTCAAAGCTGGAACATATTCCAGTTATCACGCGCAATACAGATAGCGGAGATGGGACCAATTCCTTATCTCCAGCGCCCACAAATCCCAAGTTTAGTGTGTTGGATAGATCCGCTGATATGAGATCGGGCCAACGCATGCCCTGCAATGAAAAGCTATATAGCAAAACATCGCGCGAATTGCGGCTTGCGTCTCAGGTCTCTCTATCTTTGATTTCCAGATTGACAAGGGATTCGATGGATTGGTTCTTGTTTCTGGCGACCTGAGAGACCGTGGCTTTTCCCAGACGATCGGCAAGTGGGACCCGATGACAGGGTGTTGAGAGAGGAGGATTTAGATGAGAGGACTATGTCAAGTAGGCAGCTTGAAAGAGATGTAATAACCCCTGAAAGAGCATTTCTGCCCTCCACGAATACAACTGTCACATAAAAAGCAAAATAAAACAGTCCCCACGGAAAGGTACCCAAGCACGGTTGGACAGGAGGACGAGGTCAAGCGGAAACCAATCTTCTGATGAAAAGGTTGTTTGAAATATAAGTGCAAAATATATCGCATTTACTACGTGTTTCGGACTGCGCTGCTCGCTTGTGCGTGCCGCTCGCATGTGAAATACGTTACACGCTGCTACAGTACCACAACAATGATGCCAAGAATATCAAATTACTGTACGAAACACCAAGGAAAGTGGGTCACTCAGTATAACCCCTGTCTAGGCGGGTAAGTTACCACTCCATGTTTCGAGCACTTCTACTCCGTAGTCGGCTCTAACAACACATCCCTGGTTGCCTTGTTTACTCCCCTATCTTTCGGTCGCTAATCACTCGGTGATCGCTGTGGATGCGATGAGTGCTTTGACAAATTGATGTGAGGCATCTACGCCGTTATCGCCACTCCGAATCCTTGCTTCAGAAAGGGTAAACAAAAGCGACTCGGTCGGTCGTTGGTTAACAGAGCTTGTTGATATGAAAGACATCTTCTGGAATGCAGTCCACAATAATGCTAGGTTGGAGCTCTCTGTTAATTGTAGTTAATTGACAGGGCAGCGTTATTCAAGGCCTTGAATTCCCCTTCCTGCCACATACATTGGGGTTGGGGGCGGGGAATAGATTACGAACGCAGTGCTGAAACTGGTAATAACTAGCGAGTTCTGGCAAAGAGGATAGTACAAAACTATAAATTGGCAGGTTGGCTCTCCGTTCGCTTGTGACTCCCATCTGACTGGTCAGATCATATCTAACCCCACTGTACGAACAAGCTATACATACGCTTACTCCTGGCCAAGGATGACCACAACAATTTCCCTTCCTAATATTATGATACGATGTTGAGGAGAGACAAACAAATGAGTGAATATCAAGCCCTACGCGACTATCCTCACCTGTCCAGAGACTATGAAGGTAAGGGTGAACCGAAGATCATGGCCTTCAATTTTACTAAGTCTAAAGAAAACCACCCAAGGCGTCTGCCACGCCGGCGGCGACGTACAATCTCACCTCCACCTATACGCCCCCAGAAGCGAAAGAGAAACATGACCGAATCTCTATCCCAGTCATCCTGTCCCTCGGAATCATTCCTTTTAACCAGGCTGCCCCGAGGGGTCAGGCAGTTGGTCTGGGAGGCAGCACTAGGTGGATTACGTCTTCATATTATTCAGCGGCATAAGCGTCGGCTGGGACACATTGTATGCCCACAATTAGATTCTTGCGTCATTTGCAATGAAAAGGTTGCGCAGCCCGTGAAAGGAGATATAGCTCAAGTCACTGGGAGCCTTATAGCTCTCCCTATGGTCTGCAGACAAATGTCCGTCGCGCTTCGTTTCTTCTGGCTCTTGAGATTGGAAATTCTGTCTTGGACAATGACTGATATTCGCCTAGGTACCGGGAGACCATCGATGTCTTATACGGCCGGAACACATTCGAGTTCAGCAATGCCTGGACTTTGAGTTACCTTCAGTCAACAATCTTGCGGCATCGATGGGACAACATCCGTCAGATTGAGATTCGGTGGAGGCCACCCAGTGGAAGAGTACAAGACAGCAAAGCGGGCGTTATTTCTTATTATAAAGCCGCAGACCAAATCGTATGGAAGGACACTTGCCGCATAATTAAAGACATGGGAGGTCTAAAGCACTTCAGGCTTCAAGTTTGCGGGCTCGACGTGCTGTCAACTAAGTGGTCTGAGTTCCTAGGACCACCGGGACACTTGGACATGAACGGGACATGGGAAACTCATCTTCAGGTATTACCATATCAAGAGGGCCTCATGGAGAGGTTCCTTCCTCTTATAAAGCATGCCTTCGAGCAAAAAGGTGTTACCCACACCATACGGATGTCAGGAGAACACTTGCAAGTTACGGCAAATCTTTATAATAGATATTGATAATCAGGAGATCTGCAGACAAGCTCAATCAGCAGTTTCTTAATCCAATAAGCGTAAAGGTACTGACTGGTCTGCAAAATTCAAATTCATCACGAGTACAGTTACAACATGTTTAGCGAGTAGACTTTTTTTAGGGAATGTAGCTAATGAAGCAACAATGTCTAGTTCCTGACAGGACCGTGTTCACTCCAACAGAATCAGCCCCCCGCGCCACCAGGATGAGGTCATAGCATCACGGTTGCGCATGACTGGCCACATAGCTCTCGCACTGCCTTCATATCCATAGAAAACCCGTGATAAAGTGCGCAAATAGGCTCTCCAGAGTGAATGATGGATTAATCGGTTTTGAACTTGGTTTTCCGACTGGACGGGAGCTGTGCATGAAGTCGTGTCTCTCACATCCTCTTGTTGTGCCTTACTGCCACTGCAACTCTTTTCACCGGGAAACTGGGACAGAATTTGTAATCAACACAGTGATCAACCAGCGCTGTTCGCAAGAAGTCAAGGCACCTATTACCTGCACCGAGGCCGCGAACCGTTGGGACCACCACTGCTCCGCACCAGGAGGCAGACATTGATGGCCAGATCATGAATACTCCATCGGAATCCAGGAGGGTTCAGCAAGCTTCAACAATGTCTGTCAATTGCTGCTAGTCAAATACCAACGCTTTCCAGATTTCCCGTGTGTTTCCCAAGAGGATGCCCGTGTTTCGAAAAACAGCCGTTCTGAGGCTTGCCCCTGGCCGAGCCTTAACGAGGCCCGTGGGCCTTAACAAGTTCCGTCCAATAGTTGAACTGTCTGTGTCATCGGCACACTACCGCCTAGCCGTATTCAAAGAATACGATCCTAGACCGTGTGTAAGCTAAGGGCCTTCCTGTCTTCTTTCTATGGGGACAGTAGTTTCACTGGTACTACAAATTCGGCTGCTGGGTCCGAGTGCGAGTCGGGTAAAAAGAAGACGGATGGGTTTGAAGGAGGCAAAAGCACACGTTCCATATATCTAGGAGAGAACAAGAGCAAGAACAGAAAGCAGGCGTCATATAGGTCACGGATAACAAAGAAGACAAGTAGCAAATGCTGCCCATCTATGCTTTACACATGCTTTTCCCATGTGTTATGTCCTTTGGCGTATATTTTGTGACCCGTTCGAGGCCTTCGTAATCGTCCCGAGGGACCCTCGCAAATCAGGTCATCGACCGATGCATCGACAATTCATAGCAGCACCCTCGTCGATAGAGACGGCGGCCGGTAGAAGCTCCTTCAATGACAATTAGCCCATTGTCTACTCATCAAGAAAGAGACCAGTAGTACTGTGCTTATCACTAATCACTATTCTTTGATTGTCTTTCCAGCCAATTATACTCAAGTTCCAGCTAATTGGGTCAACCCCCAAGACATGGTCTGGCCATTCATGGAATGTTTCGATGCATGCTTCTTCTAGGCATGGTCCACACCATACTCCGGGTTGGTTCAAAGACCTATCTGACGCAGAGCCTCCTCTCACGCCTGAAATTGAGCTCTCTGCGAAGGATCCCGCTGCCGAGTCCTGCAGTATAAGCATACCGAACATGAGCGGCATCGGGTCGTTTGATAAGACGCTGACAGTGGATGTGGGACGACCTCTTGGCAGGATTTTCAAGAATTCACGTGTCTCATCTGTAGTCAGGAAGGACGCTCCAATCACGGTTAGACCGCATACTATAGCAATTTCTGCGACGATAATCCCAATACAGCGTTGTGGGATACAGGGGCCGCTTTCATTATCTCGAAGGTCTGTAGCGTCATCTGTCCAGCCATTTGGGTGAAAGCCACATACCTGTCAGGTGTTGCGAGTCACATGTTCGTCATGTTGATGCCAGCTGCCGCTGGCATCCTACCTATATTTAGATCGTCTCTCGTTCTCTCGCACTCTCTCCTTGTTTCCTTCACCGTGCTAAAATTTGAGACGATCAGACTTTATTAGACCTCAGGAGTCAGATCGGACCCAGATTTTTCACTCCCATAGTGAAGCCGAGACCCCAACCTGGAGTCAAGGCTGACTCCAGCACCCCCGTGGGATAGAAATGTCTCTTGAAGCCACCACCATGTTTGACACCTAGATAGTGAATTTAGGTTCAAATCCTCTACCTGCCTCCTCAGTGTGGCTAGGACCACCTCCGGCAAGAGCACGTAAGTAGACGATAACGCAAAGAAAAGTAAGATCAGCTACATTGCACGATTGTCGCCCTCATCGCGTCCAAAGCTCTAAGGCTAGGAACCATACTCTTCAGCTCCCTCTGGTTGATCTTGAATCCCGTCGTGGGATACTTCGGGACGAAATACATTGCTCCGGTCAATCGTCTCAACCCCGTTAGCTTCGATTTAGCATGCTCAATCTCCTTGATTATCTGCACCGTCTTGCCGTGGACAGGCTCCTTCAAAACCACAGACGCCATCGGCTCATCGACCTGCAGTTCTGTGTTGCGCACCCCGACCACGACAACGCTAGATAATAACGGGTGGTCAAAGAACACGGACTCAATCTCTACAGCAGGAACATGACTCCCGTATCCCTCTCCCTCCTTAACCTCCTTAATATGGGGGGGCAAGCAATGTACACGTTGCAGTCTTCATCGAGATATCCGTAGTCGCCAGTGTGGACCCAGCCTTTCCCGTAGAGATCGTGGTCTGTCAACTCGTTATCCATGTATCCCTTGAGCTTGGCAATCACATTTCGTATCAAAATTTCGCCTTCTTCGTGGAGAATACACGACCGTAGACTCCCACTTATGCTAGTGAGATTAAGGTCTTATTGGTATATTAATGTACATAGGGGTTCACCAGGAACTACGAATTGAGCATTATTGGCGTCGCGATCTGACTAATGGCTTACTCTGTGACGGATATGACGTTGTGACGATGAAGGAGACAGGAGGATATGGGAATAACCTCAGGCGTTGCCATCCATGAGATGTCGCAATTACCTTACGAATACTGCACGAAACCGGGTCTATGGATGATCCGTCGACATAGTTTGTGTAACTAGAATGGACTCATAAATAGTGAGAAATAGGGGTAATGGATACAGAGCCATTTACATCTCCAATTGGCCAGATACAGTACGGATCGCGACATTTGCTTGCTTTGGAAGGGGCTTGTGTGCTTAGATCTCTCTCTTTCTGGCTTGCCTTCCTTTCCTCCTTCTCTCTAACTTCAGTCTCGTCCAAATGCACAAGTTATCTCCTTGATACGCTTCCTGGCAAGTAACAGGGTGACTTGTTTGACCGTGTGACCCGTTTGGCCGTGGATTACGTTACATTGGGGTCACCGTTCCTAAGGCCGTGGCCACAGTGCAGTTGGCCACTGGTCCGCAGAACTTGTGTTGAACGGGTCAAATTATCAGCTGGCGAAGTGACCGGCTTACTAAACGGGACGACCGCGGGCAAACCAAGAGTCTAACCCAATTTTGGCAGGAAAAGACCGAAAGGAACATTCCATTCCTGCGGAAACGAAAGAGTAATGCATGCAGAATCCTTTTCCCCAAACGGTACATGGGGAGAGCAAAGGGAGCTTAATGTCTGTCAGAGATGTGAAATCGAGGACAGTCTTGGGCTTCATCTCCATCTCCATCTCCGTCTCCATCTCCATCTCTTCCACTTTTTCCCCGTCAGCTGCATGTGCAAAGGCTGCTTGAGCCTTACTTTTCTTATTCAGCCCCATTGGCCAACACTCAGAAAGAATTAGCTCAGTGTCACTAGTTTTAACGCTCGTGTTCGAAACCTTGAATAGGCGCGGGATACACGGTTGGGAAACGGGGCCCGATGTGTCCAAAGGTGGATGGGCATGTCCAAGACGTGGAGTCCATGGAACAGGAGGAAGAGAAGTTTGCTCGGGGCATTTCGAAAACTTTCAAGACAATTTGGAGACTTGTGAGATTCTGGATTGGATCGCGCGCATTGAATTGGCCTCAGCAATAGCCTCCGCCCTGAGCGTACGTACGTGAATATAATGAGACCCGGCCGCTGGCTAGATGAGGGCAAGCGGAACCAATCTTCTGATGTAAAAGTTGATTGAAGAAAGAACGAATATCATGAGCCAGGTAGAAGTATCCATAAGATGGCTAAGATACACGGCGTTACGAACCACCGTAATGCCAAGGATACCAAGCAACTATACAAAACACCGTGGGTCACTCGGAATAATACGTTATCGCCCCATGTCTCGGCATTTCATGAAACGGTCGGATTCATTCGTATTTATTTGGAATGCTGTCCTTTTCCTCAATTAAAGCCACGTTCTAGTTGTCAGCCATAATAATAATTTTTCCGATCGACAAATTCTGCTTGCCTTCTTACTTGTTACTGCTGACCCTAGGAGCGACATCCTATACTTCACTCCTCCGCCTGGCAACCTAATACATCGCTAGTCGCCAGTCTTCAATCTCATCCAAATATACACCACCTCGTCATTTACCACATTTTCGTCGTCATACACTATAATCCACACTATATTCCACTAAGAGGTGGATAGCACATATAACATCATCCACACCGGTATACCGTTCGATTTCTTTCCTTGGCTCGCTCAACTGCACGCACCGAAGAACAAGATAAGGGTGTCACTATACTGCTTCACTCCTAAAGTTTCGAGGATGACCTAAGCTATAACTCGAAAGACTGAGCAGGGAGTCACACCTCCCTTTCAGCCGCATCTCAATCCTTGCGCACCAACAGGAAAGACCGATTTCCCCGTAAGGGAAAAAGCGCTGCCTCATGCTTTTCTACCACCACAACTGCTAATACAACTACATCAACTACTACCATGGAGACATGCTCGGAAGTATCCACACACCACCAACCTCAACTACACTCGGCACGGCAAGGCCGAATGAAGATTAACTCGTTGCTGAACCCTTTAATTGACACCGGACCGGACGAACACTGCACGGCGAGTTCGCCAAACAGCCAGCACATGATAATTTCATCCTCGCCGCACAGCGGCGGCTACACACATTCACCAATCTCCTCACCTTCTCTAGTCCACCATTGGTATGGACAATACCGGGGCCACCACGACACCAGTTCGGGTGCAGCACCTACCGCCGCGACACGTATCAGCAACCGTAGCCGACGCTCGAATCATCACCAGCACAACCAGCACCAGAGCCAAATTCAGCATCCAGGAAGCGGAAAGCGCCACCATAACCGCATGTTCCTGTCCTATCAACCAACGAACAGGTCCGTACACTCCTCGCCGGACCCGTACCACTCCCGCAAGCAGCACGACACCGTCTCCTCCAGGTCCAGCGACAACGGCGACCGGCGACGAGCGCCACGACCGAAGTACAAAGAAGAAGAGATGTACTTCATTTGGTACCACCGAGTAGACCTGTGCCTGGGGTGGAAAGAAGTGCGCGAGAGCTTTAATCGCCGGTTCCCCACCCGGCAGCGGCGAGGGTTCCAGGGAATTCAGTGCAAGTTCTACCGGTTCATCAAAGAGAAGAAGTGTCCGACGCCGCGGGAGCAATGTCGCATGCGGAATGACGAGTTCCTTGAGGAAGGCGCGCCGATAGGGGCCGAGTCGGGGGCTTCACGGTTTGGTGTGAGGGGGTGGACGAATGTGTGGTATCAGTGGATGCGCTAGGATGGATGTTGAACTAGCCGCATTGTCGCCGTGATGACCATACTCCCATGACTCATGACTGTTTCTATTTTTGATCTTATCCTATTTTAATCAGATTCATGTCAGGGAAATGACGGGACAACTGGGAACTATGTGTCATTGTTTGCACCTTTTGCCCGATACTTTGGTGGGGGTTTTTGATTGGCCTCTTTTTGAACTGCAGCTGAGACGTAGTGAAAAATTTATTTTTCTTGTATTTGGACAGTTCCGGACAAGGACATTATCGAGCAAAGTGGGGTAGTAAAATACGCCCGAAATAGCTTAGTTCCATTTGTGTCGTGATTTCTATGTTTTGATAGGGGATTCTCGACGCGCCGAGAATCGGGGACTTTCAACCTTCTTTTCCTACTCGCGTAAGCAAGGACTCCCTAACGTGTCCTCGCATCTTCTGCTCTTTTCATCTTTTCTTCAACTAGTACAATTAACTCACCTCATCTTTTGGGATTGGTTCCCCTTGGTCAATTAGCCCCATCTCACGTACGAATGCCATACTGTAATAACTTGCTTTGACAGCAGGTAAGTCACGAAGTGGTGCGCATGCCAAGCTTTTAAAGACGGGTCCGCCAGACCTTGAGCTAAACCAATTAGGAAAGAGTTGCGCCAATTGTCGAGCTAAGCTTCTTCGACCCTCGTACTCAATTATTTGCTACAAGGATCTGGCCACCAGGATGGCTCTATGCCTCGCCCACCCCCACACACCGTGTGACCTCGATGGCATCCGGTTGTCCCTCCGGCTGCCGTAGCACACTCTGGTACACTAGGTTGGGATTTCCGACAACCTCGAAGACAGGCTTATCACCCTCGGGCATGAAAGAAGTGACAACGCGCTCACGCATACCCTCCGTGTTATAGCCCTTAGTGGGTCCTCGCTTCGCAGCCTCCCTTTTCTGCTCAACACTGCTCCGAACATACTCCAGGTACGGCGGGTTGCCCGGATGGATCACATTGTCAGCCGCGAGAACCGAGCCAGGAACGATCATACCATGGTGCTCGCATAGCTTCAAGTCCGTAGTATACGCGGGCTTATAATGGTCAATAAACATAAGCTCGATCTTGGTCACCTCCCCGCTCTGGTACAACTTGTCGAGCGACACATCGCTGCGACCGACAAGCACCCGCACAAAGTCGCGCAGACCGGCCACCTCGATTAACATGTTCGCAATGGCTCCCCACTCCGGGTTCAGCTCTAGACTGAGATAGCGCTCGCCGCCGTTGCGTCGAACCGCCTCGCCGAAAAGGATGGCCGAGTAGCCCACGTAGCAGCCCAGTTCGATCATCGTTTTGGGCTTGACTTCGTCGATTAGCTCTATCACGATTTTGCCTTTGGGCTCGCCGACGGTCATCATGTCGTAGTCCTTTTCGAATTCGTCCATCAAGTCGAGCACTTTTTGTGGATGGCCTCTGATCTCATCGAGGTTTGGCTGGCCGTAGACAAAGTGAAGTAGCTTCATTTCTCGGCCTGCTTCACGTGAACGCTCTCCAACTCGGGGATGTGGGGGCGGCGACGTGGACAACGGCATCTTTGAGGCAGGGAACGATGAGACTTGATGGGAAGTAAAGAGTCGTTTGAAGTTAAGGTTGCAGGAAGCAATGGTGTCAAATGGGACGTATCGGGCGGGTAGAACACTCGTGAAACAGCCGCTTTTAAAACAAACAAGACCGGGGTCTGAGTAGTCAGCGACACGAGGGGATGAGTAATACCTCTCTACATGACCCAACTGATTGGAGTTGCACGCAGCCGAGCCTGGGCAATATATTTCCACTCTCCTAGGAGTATGTGGTCCCGAGCACCTCGGGAATAAGATGTTCAGAGATGAACAGTGCGGCGTCGGGCTTTTCGGTTACTTGGGGGTAGTACATTGGGGAATTAGATACTGAAAACGCCGATTCCCATTCGTATCTTGTCGTAGGTTCAGCCTCACGAGCCGCACATGCACTACTAACATGAGGGGCCCCGAGGAACTTTTTCTGCGTCGCTCCACAACCCATAATGTAGACTAACAAGTTCGGAGAAAGTCTGAATGAATGCGGGAGGCCGCCAGAATGTACGGTGTGCGCATCGCTGCTGAGACATGGGCGGAGACAGTCTGAACGAGAAGTTCCGATGAGAGCTCACAGATCCCTGTAAAGAGGGGAGACTTTTGGACCTGATGGCGACGGGAGCCAATCTAAACTGGTGGCTGGCAAATTAACACGGAGCTGATGGGGGTCACGGTATCCGACGTGCCTCAGCAAGCCGCCGTAATTCGCCATTGCAGGCCATCGTTCTTTCGCGCAGTGCTTCGGGCCAGGCAGAAGCCAAACGTTGTCGACAAAGCTGAGACATTAATTATATCCTCATCTGGGATGGCCACCAATTCCCTATTGCTTAGGTAGATAGGGTGCCCGAACCTTGGGAGGCGGTCCTCATTCGTGGCCATTCCCGAAGGAAGCTGACTTGGCCCGAGCGAATACGGGAAGCCTGGTTAATGTGCAAATAGGCCAGGCGCTAGATGGGATTCGTGGGGATAGAGTGGAGACTTTGATAGCTGGAAGTCAAGGCTTTTTCAAGATGGTGTGGAACACTAAGATCCCCCAATTCTTGGAATTTTCCACTTGTAATAAATACCTGATTGTTTGGGGATTTGGCAAGCTGCGTGTCGTCACTCGTTGTCCGATGCTTTATATGGCTTAGCATTCTAGAAGCCCTCTAAATTGCTAAATCTAGGATAAGTTCCGAGGTCGAAAGCTTGTGTGGTCTTCGCAGCTGCTACCCTAGATACCATACTATTTCTATCACAGCTTTTATCACTGTGTCTAGATACATATCATCATCCCGAAATCTCTCCTACCGGATGCTACCGCCGCGTTTATCTAACAGATGGCTTGTGAGCTTACGTTTTCATAAACTTAAAATTGTGCGATTTAATATAAATTCCCCCTAGATGGCTGACAGTGAAATTATGCGGAGAATGCCACTATTGATAGAAATTACCATACCACCAGTAGCAAACCAATTTATCTACGAGCAATTTAGCACAAAGGCGACGTACAAAAATATGGTATAATTATGAATGTAGCAGCCTAGTGCGTGCCTTATTTTGAAAAACATTTTGCGCTATTCCTGGTATATAGTGCGCTGGACGGGACAGACGAGCGAACTGTCGATTTGTTGCACTTTTTGCCGATATAGAGCTTCTGCTTCGAGAGCTCTTGGGTAGTATGCGGTCGTGGACAATATACCGCCGGAGAGTCTTCGTCTATTGTCGGCGTGCCCTGTGGAAGTACTTCTATAGATTGCATTGAATGACACTACCATAATCGGGCACCAGCTATACATGCGAATCTAAGGTAGGACTAAGCACCCTCTAAGATTTTATTTCGTAGGGAGTTAGGGCCGAGGTTAGGGGGAGTGTGGAGAGAGCGGGTAGTGTTAAATAAGTGTTATCCAGTATTCTAAATCAGGTCGCCACAGGATTCCTAGATAGTAGCGGCGATTTGTACTAACGCATAGGCGTAGCCTTATAGCGAGGCTATTATGCGTGTAGTGACATGTCTGTTATGCGAGATTTTTAGACTCGGAAACCGAGATAACTTCAAGGATCAGGTATATTACAAGAACCCGGGTGTTAAAGCCAACGAGATGACTGAAGATGCAAGCACTATCGCTCAGTATTCAAAGGTCCCTAACGTGTTGGCCTCATATAATGGCGCTTTTGTTGTTAACGTCGTGTTCGAAAATCTACTCCTGGGTAGGGTGGCCCGCTCGCCTGAGAGTTACATTAAGTAGAACATGGCATAACTGTTCGTGGAAACTCGATAACTATCCCCGGAGCCGCACGTGGGCGGAGAATACGAGCGCAAGGGATCTGACTAGGAGAACGAAGGCACGAGCTCCTTTTTAGTTAATTTTACTTTTTCTTCTCTCATCCTCTCTCTCCTCCCCCTTTCCCTAAGCTTCTCCTTTCCCAGTGGTGTCGATCCTCCTCAACTTACACATTGCCTCCCAGTCACGCTTGTCCTCCATATCGTCCTCTACGTTCTGATGGGTACTAGCTTTGCCTTCGCCATACTTGAGTGGTTAGACCTATCTGCCTATGCTACTACTGGCTGGAGTGCAATCAGCAGGTGTACTCTTGGGACCCCCACCAGTGCTACAACTACACGACCGTTCATTTCAGCCCCCGGATATTCTGACTTTCGTCCTCTCCACCACCTGCTGGAAAATTTTGGTGTCTGTTACCGCCCTCGTCCTTCCGTGGTTGTATACTCGAAGGGGCTTCGTGAGCCGAAAGCTCAACACCATTCTCGGTGTTTCAATCTTCGTACTTTACTTTGTCACCTCCATCTTCTGGCTAGCTTGCTTTGCTGGTGTCGTCGCTGAGCTCGGTGGCGGGAGCTGGCTTGACATCGTAAATGCTGTCATTGCCTTTCCGTTCTCCTCTGGTAGACCTTCCCGACTCAACTTCACTCCTTCACTCCTTATGCTAATGAACACCCGCTACTCCTAGGTTCCTATTCCTCGCGCTCTTTATTCTAACCCTCCTCGCCGTATGCGGTGTGATGGTTTCGGACTGGACCGGTTACTAGTCCATGAAGGAGGGAGTAGCGGACCCCTTGTAGCCGCAGGCCTCGACTGTCCCTCCCCTTGCCAATGATGTGCCAATGGATCAGCCCCATAACCCCGTGATGCCGCCTCGGAGCTATCGCATTGTGATACTGAGGCTTTGCACAACCAAGTCATCTGCCACTAGGGCGACATACAATCAGCAGCTGAGTGCCCAGAGTGAAGACTTATAGGGGAACTCAAGGCGGCTGGGGCTATTCTGTAATACCGGGCGACCACGAGCGCGGCTGTACTCCTGGGCCATCTTCATAAGACGCAATTAGGGGTACCATGGCGCCCGAGAGGGCAGCAGGACTCAGAAAAAGGGATATTCGCTTCTTTTGCTGTCCGCGAAGTAAACCACGGTCAGGTACAGATCCAGGCAAGGTAAGGGCCCTGGCTTGCAAGTACCTAGGCTCAACCAAGATCTAGTGAGACCACCTACTAGACGAATCCTGCAAATACAGAGGTCAACGACCCAAAAATCCACAGACCGGTCAAGTCATTCTTCATGACCACTACCCATGGTGACTCAAACAGTACGTATGTCGCTTAGAAAGTTGACACGCTAATGGAAAACTGGTTGTCCAGAGCGCTGAGGTCGCCAGGCAACTTGACCACTTTTGATTGCGAGGAATTAGAAAACGAAAAATCAGTTAGGATACGTGATGACGTCAACCACTCTGTGACTTCTAAAGGAGGTCCAACCGATATTCGCTCGATCCAGGGAGGAAGATACATGAATGAGCAAAATGATCGGCACAAAAGCGAGGTCCAGCTTGAGAAGCAGGTTTTCTCTTTTCGTGTATCAACCACGATCTCCTAGTTAGCTAAATTCTCGACCCACGGAAGTTAGATCGAGGGCTGTAGGAATGAAGAGCCTCTTCTTCAATATCATCGTGGTGGATGTTTGCCATAATGAAAGAGAAAAGCAAGGGCTTGCCAGGAAAAGTGTGGTAATAGTGAGACTATATATGTTGATGGAAACATTGGTTCTCCCCCAGCAACCTTGTATCACTTCTTCAAAGGATGTATGGCAAGATGACCCCCATCTCCACGTGGGATAGCAGGACTAGTACCGTGGCTTTTTGCATCGTGGGTACCCGCTCTTGAATGTCAGAGTCTCCAGTTTCCGTGGAAATAGCTTTGCTGAGAGTGGAGGACGTCGACCCGGGGAAGCCTTGAAAGTTCTACCAGGGAACCAAGTATGCAATTACTCTTCGAATATTTGCCGTTTTGCGCCCATAAGGGGCCCCGAAGGTAGGGATTTGCTGGAGAGGTGAGGCTGTTTGCCATGGTCCATCCCCATTGGATCAGCGAAAGGCTCGTCTTACCTTATGTCTCAAATTAGAACTCATATTTGGAATAGGGCACGCCCTTTGCCCCGACTCTCGGTAAATCGAACCCAATCCTTCAAGGTATTACAGGTGCTGGCTAACGGGCACGAGGGCCACCAGTCTTACCACTTTGGTCCGAGAGTGACATCTGTCGTACCCATTTTTTCTCCCTGTTCCTCCGCCAATTTCTATTCTCGATTCGTGACCATGGTCTTCGCATGGGATCCGACAAGGGTCCACGACAGAGACATCATCTGCCAGTCGCAGGGCCGGTCGGCCCCGCGGTCCATGGTGGCGTATGTGCAGAGATCCTCCTTAACCACGCTGAGAGGGACACTGATCGTCACATGCAGGTGCAATCGATGCCGCCGTCGTAAGACACGTTGTGCTAGCAATCCGCCCCTCCCATGCGCGGCATGTGCCGACGCTGGCCAGACATGTATATACACAGAGGCAGAGAAACGCGTCTCAATCCCAGAGAGGTGAGTGCGGACGGAATTCCTCATGTCAGACCAGAAGCCCATGCGCCCCAGTTATTATCGTCAACTGCAGTCTCAAGCTCGCGCACTGCGCGACCGATCCAGTATTGATACCCATTGCCCGAGCCTATCCAGCGTGCCCTCGAGGGCATCGTCCACAATGACCCGATGTTCGGGAAGTGAGGCGCCTTTGGAGCGAGACGACTGGTGGTATAAGGGGACCGACAGCCTACTTCTGAAACGCTCGGGAGAGCATCGTATGCACCAATCAATCGCACAAAGTTGACACGAAGGCCTTTCTCTAACGATCCCAGACTTCGTGGGAGCATCATCCACTACACATCTTGCCAAGCGCCTCAATCCGGTCTCAACAAACCTGGCGTGGGATGTATGTCCACTTTATGATGACTCATCCTCATTGCGTCGGTCGGTGGCAGCTACATTGCCTCAGTTGCCGCCGTTGGAGACCGCCAAACGGCTCTTCTGGGTGCAATATGCCTATGTCGGGACGATCTTCTCATTGATCCACCCCACAGAATATGAAGAACGATTGGACTTGGTCTACCATCAGCCACCTGACTTTTCCCACCGGGAGACATGCCTAATATATTGCCAGGTGCTCCTGGTTACCGCTTATGGGTTGATGTACTCCGTCAACGAGTGGTCCGATGAGGATGGACCCCCTGGTTTCGCGTACTTCAGGCATGCGCTGGAATTCTTGCCCGGTATCCATGAAGAAGGCTCAATCTTCTTCGTCGAGGTGCTGTGCTATGTGGCATACTACTTGCAGAATCTCAATCGTCGGGATGCCGCTTTTCTTTATGTATGTGTGGTCATTTCTTTGGACAGGTCAATCCACTAACCATATACAGATTGGTCTAGCCCTTCGTATGGCTATCTCACTTGGGCTTCACCAGGAGGTCTCCGATCCAGACTTTAGCGAAACGGAACGAAACCGCCGCCGTCGAGCGTGGTGGTCGGTTTACAGCTTGGACCGGTATGACGTACCCAAACCTCTCATTGTCGCATTTGACCCTCATCTCCCAGGAATAGGCTTCTGTCTGTCAAATCCGGGAATCCCATTACTATCCATGATGAGGATATTGGCACAATATGGCCAGCTGCGCCGGTGGGTTATGTATCCCCAATGTGAGACAATTACTGACTTTCAGCTTCCTAGGACGGGTCAACCCCGGATTCATGGCCATCCATTGTACTCACTCACTATACACAACTCTCTCGTATTCTGGGGAAAATTGGAGAAGGTGAGAACATCCCCGTCGATGATGATAACTATACATTACATTGACCTCGTGTGTCAAAAGAGATCTACCGGAAAACGCCCCGATCTGGGTCCAACCTCATTATATCTGTGCAAGATATTACTAATGACCTTTCCACCTGGTTGCGACAGATTCCTGATCGCCTCCGCATTGACTTCACCACTCTGGATGCCCCCATCGATCGAGAAACCGTGTCAATCAACCTTCACTTTTACTCCTGCGTCAACATGGCTGCCCGCCCACTCGTGTTCTATATCATTCAAAGAAGACTCGATGCAGGTATTCTTGGAACCTCGACGGAAGGTTGGAAAGAAGGCCTAACACCTAACACAGTTGCAGTCATTGATAGCTGTATCACAGCAGCCCGGGCCACAACTCTGATTATGTATGCAGCTGCGAAACATAATCTCATAGGTATGAGCATTTCTTTTTCTTCATTCGTCTTCAAGGATTTCCTTGAAGATTAACCCGATGTTTAATAATAGCTACATACGGCTACCTTGATGGAGAGTACATTTTCTCCGCCGCACTGCTTCTTGTCATGGTGAATGCCGCATTCCCGCACAACGATACCAATGATTGGGCAATGGGAGCCGCACTGAATCTTCTTCAGAGCATGGCTGACCGGGGAAATACGTACCTGGGTTCGCGCCACTCCTTGCTTCTCGAGCTACAGACTGCTATCGGCATTAAACCTGCAATGAGCGGTGCCGATCGCTTGAGTCCTCCTCGGAATGTACCCACTACACCCAAGAGTGAGCGGCCAGCCGGTTTAGGGACGGAGGAGGCTGATGCTCATCCGCCTGTACTAGAAGGGATTTGGCAGCAGCCACCCGATTTTTCCTCGCTCGAGGATATTTCCTTCCCGTTTGACGTCAACGATGATCCTGCGCTTTGGGAGGGTGCGTTGAATGAGATCGACATTGATATGGATACGGAATGGATTGAAAATACTTTGAAGCGATAGCCCTTTCTAGGCAGCAATTTACGAATGCACTTAGACTTGCGATCGCATTCATGAAGGCCACGTAGTTTGGTGTCTCTGCGTCGAAAAGGCAGTTAGCGCAGGGACTAGTACTACATACTCCTTCCAGCAATACTCATCTGAGGCTTTAAACTAAAAAGAGTTCTATACTGCAATAAAGGTATTGGGTCCTCTATCCCGATCGCGGCGACGCAAAAATGCCCCTCTGCCCTTTTACACCCGTCCTTGATACTGTTTGTTGATGAGACTACCCACTTATCGGCCCAACAATTCCGACTACGCCTTGTCAAAACGCGGGTTGGGTCCGGATTCCTCATTCGAGAAACCGCCTGCGGGTTTTCAGAGGGTCCCAGCGGATAGAACCTTTGATTGACTAACTGATTTCTTAGGCTTTTTTGCGGGCCGTTGAATGCATGGGGACTCTATGGCCCGTTTGAACCCCAGTTTGTAAAAGTTTAACTCACATAAATTCAGCCGGTCATCACCGGTAATTCTTGTAATTAACTTGTGTTACATCTTTGCTGGAGTGATACTTCCCTGGAAACAAGCGATGTGCTTAGAGGGCTTCTAAATTTTGAAGGGATAGGTGGTATTCGTAATTACATTACGGTCGAATCCCAGGCGTCTGTCTAGACTAGTACTAGCATTGTCTAGATGCTTTTTAGGACATGGATAGGGGCGCTATTGAAGGCTTCTTACGGAAATGGCCTGTATAAGCAACGAAATACCAAGGATTTACCGGCCAACCAGAGCAACCGGAATCAAAAGAGGAAGGCAATGATGGGATGAAAGAGTGTTGAATCCGACGAATCAAACTACTGAACTCGTTGGGGGAATTGAAATACCCATAAGAATACCCATGACTCTGAGGTTACAATTCGAGGTGGCAAATGTACACCTAAACCACAGAGGAGGGGTGGTGTATTGCATGATAGCGGAACTTCGGTAACACCAGATGTATCGTTTGAGCCGATACGGTGCCGATCATATGTTCTTGATAGGCATTAACACTACGTCTCAGAAGACTGATCACTTGTACATAAACTTTCCCCAGACCATCGGTAAGTGGAGCCCGATCTTTAATCGGTTGGGGCGAGTCTCGAGACCCGAGGAGACCATTGTTGTACAATTTGTGTAGTGGAGTGTCCTTACGAGGGTGTCGTATCGAATATTCAACAGGAATCATAAGGCCGATTGAAGTTGTACAAATCCACTGAGAGCTCTCTTAAGGTCACATGGTGTGTTACTTCACTATAATTCCGAGGCTCCCTGTTACCATGCAGTGATCTGGAGGGACAATCAGACACCCAAGAACCCTATCTCTGAGGTACGCAGTAGTACATTGGGGCCTCAGCTTGTCAATTAGAGTTTCTGGCTCTTATATCCACTCGAGGCGTTTCTTCACGGCGGTAACCCGACCCCACCCGCGGTTTGGCGAGGGCCTGCTGGGAAGCAAGAAAATGTGACAACTGAATTAGTGACGACAAAGCGGAGAGAAAAAAGGGGCTTGGCGCGTTATCTGGTAGCATGGATACATCGCAACTTTGTGACCCCAGGCCTGTGGCTGTAAACCTTACCTCCGTTGCTTCGTTTCAGGGCATTAGTTTCTTACTATTTAGAAACGAGAGCTATTCTCATTCCATTAGCAAACGCAGTACACCCGATATGCGGTATCTCCAATTCGTGATGGTTGAAGCCTTCCCCCTCGCCGAAATGATATATTAGGCGAGGAGGTAATGGCGGGGAAGGAGCTCCGCCCACTAAGGGCATAAAAATGCACAGATTGTTAGGTAGAATGTTTGGAACATCCCTGGACGAAAGTGTATATCATACCCTTGTCTGAGATTAGTATATGTGAGACAAAATCAGTGGGGAGTCGGCCCTCCTGTGTAATATCCAGTGCTTTGCTAGAGTCCTCAGCTAGAGAATCAAAATAATTCTTAAACAGTGATTCGACCACTAATGGTTCTTGTAACAACCCCATAAACAAGCCTCGGTCGTTTTAATAAGTGTTATCCCCAGATCATTCGGGTGTCGCCGTGGTGTTCCTAGACCTTAATCATGGGCTGCATGAATTCGAAACCTGCCGAGGCGGACAGGGAAGCCCTTCAGCGGAATTCACGCATCGACTGGGCTATCAAAAATGACAAGAAAGCAATGGACTGGACGATCAAGGTTCTGCTGCTGGGTGGGTGCCTAATCTCTCTGTTTTGGCAAGACTTTGTGCAGCAGCGATCTACTAACAACATTTACCAGGTGCAGGAGAGTCCGGAAAGTCCACTATTATCAAGCAAATGCGAATCATCCACGGCGGAGGCTTTTGCAGGGAAGAACGTCGCCAAACCCGGGCTGTCATCTACTCGAACATTATCATCGCCTTCAAGGTCTTGTTGGACATCATGAATGCCGAAAGGATACACTTTGAACATGAAGCTACAATGGTACAATCCGCTCACTCCGTGCAAGCTATTGAGAATGATAAACTGGCGAGCCCTTCGACGCCAAGCCATTTTCGGAATTATTGATTAAGGCAAACCCGGAAGTGGGGTCGGATGAGGCCTTCACTGATCTAAATGTCCGCGACGCGATGAGGGAGCTGTGGCTTGATTCAGGTGTCCAGAAGGCCGTTTCCCGCGGGCACGAGTTTGCTCTGCACAACAACTTGAACTAGTGAGTAACGGTGCTTTACGCCGACGACGTTTTTTCACCAGTTTTTACAACACTTTGGACCGCATTTTCACACCTGGGTGGCTTCCTGGTAACCAGGATATGCTGCAAGCGCGACTTCGGACCACAGGTATTACGGAAACCTTATTCAAGCTTGGGCAGATGAATTTCCGTGTTATGGATGTTGGCGGACAACGATCAGAACGGAAAAAATGGATCCATTGTTTTGAGGGAGTAAAGTGCTTGTTGTTCATTGTTGCTCTATCTGGATATGACCAATGCCTGGTTGAAGACCAGAATGCAGTAAGTGCATAGCTTTCTACACGGTTCTTGCTCGTCTGTCATGCTCACTGCTAATCACGCCTCTAACAGAACCAAATGCATGAAGCCATGATACTGTTTGAATCTCTCGCAAACTGCGAGTGGTTCAAGCGCAAACCCATCATCCTATTTCTCAATAAGGTGGACCTGTTTAAAAGAAAACTCGCCGCCTCCGCCATCTCCAAATACTTCCCAGACTATACAGGCCCGAACACCGATTTTGATGCTGCCGTACGGTACTTCTCCAACCGGTTCCGCGGCATCAACCGAGTTTTAGATAGCGAAATTTACATCCACTGCACCAATGCTACGGACAACACCTTGCTCAAGGCGACCACGGATGCGGTCCAGGACATAATGATTCAGAATTATCTACATACCCTGATTCTGTAAGGCAGCCGCATCTCCATTATCGGTGGGCTCTATGCGGTGAATGTCTTCGCTGCCACGAACTCGATTTTCGCTTCTTGTTGAGCACTCTTACGCCGTTTGTTACCTGTGTTGCATTCTTCAGTGGTCCGTCTCCTTCTGCCCTTTGCTAGTTGATCATACCTCATCCTCCTCACGCCATATCTCTCTCGTGCTGGTTTGATTTAGGGGTTGAATTTCTCTTTGTTTACATCCGCATACTACCGTATCCTGAGCTCTGTTAGGCTGCATCCAAAAGCCCGTCAAATTTCGCTAATGCCACGCTCTGGTTTAAGTGGCGATGTTTCTTTCTTTCATTCCATTCCTTCTTTTCTTCCCATTATTTTCCTTCTCACTATGCAGGATAATACCACCTATTTTGTCGCAGCTGATGATTCCGCATTTCCAACGGGAGCATCGAGAGCGGTTCGCGAGTACTAGAACCCGCGGGAATAGAAGCGGATATTAACAAAATCCTCGTCATGCCCATTCTTGATATTCTTCTGATTTGTTTGATTCCTGGTTGATGGAAAAATAAGCCCTGGCATTTGTCAAACCTCGAAATGGCCTGGAGTCTCATGGTAGCTCTCTCTAGGGTGGTCTCTATGAAGACCGCCTTCCGCCGCTTGTTCTAGAGGACATGGTCAGATTGTGCAGCTACTTCTCGAGCACGGAGCCGTTTTCAACGTCGAGGGTGGCCACTACGGAAACGCCCTCCAGACCGCTTCTTTTGGAGGGCATGATCAGATTGTGCAGCTACTGCTCGAGCATGGAGCCAATGTCAACGCCCAGGATGGAGAATACGGATACGCCCTTCAGGCGGCTTGCTCTGAAGGACGCGATTAGTTGTGTAGCTACTGCTCGAGCGCGCCGCCGACCCCAAAGTCCAGGGTGGAGCATACGGAAAGGCCCTCTACGTTGCTTTTTTTGGAGGGCACGATTAGATTTTGAAGCAACTCCTCGAGCATGGAGCCAATGTCGACGCTCGGAGAGGCCAGTATGGAAACGCCCTTCAGGCCGCTCTTTATACGGGACACAACAAATTGTGCAAATTCTCTAAGGATAGTTTGCTGGCCAGCCGTCATCTTATATTCAACTTTCATGAAAGCCTCTTATATACAGTGCGATTAACTTTGGTTGTGCTGTTTTACTCAATGCCTTGGGTCCTGTTGCTTTCTCCACAGTGTTGCTATGATTTTGTAGTTGCTGTGTATTGCTTGAAGCTGAAGATATACCTACGTATAGAGGTTTCCGATGGCGGGAAACACCGAACCGGCTCGCTCTCTCTAGCCGCTCTGAACATAGAGTCACGCGCAAGAACTACAGATGATGGGGGAACGATCGGGGACGATGGCTAAGGTCCCGCTGTTCAGCGGCTCCACATCCCGATCTCGCGGTCTAGTGAAGCTACCTCAAATACAAGATCTATAATAAGACGCAAGTCTGTCAGTGTATGAAACAGATACAAGATGTGCTGTAAACGGAACCTGAACTTCAATTCGGCAAATACGCATCATAAAAGGCAAGTGGGCCAATGGAAGAAACGAAAAATCCCATGATGTCCATCACCTTCATACGAAATAGAACACGGCCAAGTAATGACAGGTAACGATGAACAGGGAGAGATGTGATAAGTGTGAACTGAAAAACACCGCGAAAGAAACAAACAAGCATGGAAAACTCATAAGCGCAGAGGCAGGTAAGCTTCAGACATAGCAGCTTGCACCTCACCGAATAGGACTTCAGATATTAGTAGTATCCGTTAAAACTATCTACTGACAAAAAGAAAAATGTAACCAAGAAGGCGACAAGAGTGGTACCTCGTCACGCTCTTATTTTAGACCTGACGTCGTAGACGACGTACCTTAGAAGAAAGGGAGGAATATACCAGAGCTATTGCTGTGAACATGATCGACACCTCAGCACCGAGGACAAGTAAATCCCTTTTTGTATCTTCCTAGACTTTTAAATTGAGTGGCCTCCCCCGAATTGACACGGTAAGTCGAGATCAATTCCTGGCCAGTTTGAAGCTTCACGAGAGTTAATGCAATCTCAGCTTGACCTCAACCCTCACTTTTCTTATGCAAGATAATGGACGGGTATCGGCTATAATCAGTTGTTAAACTGCATAAAAAGGGGAGCGTAGGGTTTTCATGTCATGCAATACGTTTTGGCCTCCTTGGCTTTTATCCTCACTGCAAAAACATGAATGCTCATTTCCTGACCACTTTTGGTTCACCATTTTTGATGCAAAGTTTTGATATGTCGCACATTTACAAAAGAACACAGCGCGTTTTGCTTACCATTCGTTATATACCCACGGTATAGACATGCAAGGGGGGAGAGGATCTGAAGATGACGATGTAAGAAGAAGTCGTATATTCCCTGAACATTTTATCGTGAAGACAGAAACAGAATTTGACGACGCAAGTCTTATACGCCAGACAGAAATTCTCCAAGGTACAAGTAGGATTGTGTATGCACTTTGAAGAATACGTGATTATATAAGTCACTTTTCGCGAGATATGTATGTGTGATGACCATCCTAGAACATCAGGGAACAGATGTAGAGACAAGTTGTGAAACTGGCGCAATGCCGATGGTCAGTGAGAATGATGATGCAGGGAAGAGAGAATGAGCGGAGAGGTGGCTACGGGGTCCGTATCTGCTCTAGTACTTTGAGGTTTGAGGCAAGTCATGCCACAGCTGCTTTGGGAAGCCTTTAACAAGACTGAGTGAGCCCTCGTCAAGGCAATTTACCATTTAGAGGATCGCATCATGTAAATGAGGAAAGCTCAAGTATACACTATGGCATTAGTGCTATAAATTAATACCTACACTCGCATTCATCCTTCCTTTCCCAACACAGACCCCCGCAGGAGATGGATACACCTTGATCTCGTCTAGATGTAGAGAAGAGATTAGGGAAGACAGTGAAAATATTTTGGAACTTGACTTTAACACATGTAGGGTCAATAATGGTACTTGAAGTCCACTGCGTAGTCGCCCGAGCGAATGGGCCGGTTATCTTCCTTCTCTCCGCTCGCGATCTGTTCCTTGACCTGGTTCTCCCGCCGTACGTATAATCCTAGACCGGTCACTGCGAATTGTGCCACCACAAGCGCACCCAGGGAGAACGCATTCCCTAGCACGTACGGGGACTGGCGATAGACTTGACCTACCACGATGCCGGCGCAGTTGCCCATTGTCTGCTGTAGGCCAATTTGCAGAGCCCGTCGGTATTGCGGAGCTGTGTTCACATTCAGCCAGGCGACGTTTAGACCGACGCCTGTGTAGGTGGTAATTCCACACAAGAAGGTTGCGAAGTATTTCACAGCCGTGTTGTCCACAGTCAGCAACAAAATGTAGCCCACAATGCCAAAGATATTGGCAGCGAAGATAAACTAGAGACGTGGTTAGCTGCTGTTGCTCCAGGAGAAACTTTGCAGAGTCGCGCGCACCGATGCAAACTTAGAATACCGGTCGGAGAAGAAGGCGACCGCGATAAAGATGGCCGCAGCCCAAATATAGACCGGGACGGTCAGCACATTACTCATGAGCGAATCATACCCCATGCCGTGCAAAATCGTTGGCAGGAATGTGCTAAATCCGTACAGGAGGATGTCCTGGCAAAATTGAATCACACCGGAAAGATAGAGCTTCGGGTCACTGAGCGCGATCCGCATCTCTTCCCAGCTGAACTTGTCACTACCCATGTACTTGCGACGTTGCTCGTTGCGTACACGCATCATCCATTTCTCCTTTTCGGTGAGGAAGTAGGCCTCTGCTGGGTTATTCGGCAACCCAAACCAGATGAGAATGGCGCTGATGGCACTGAAAATGCCTTCGATGATGTATACCCATCTTGAAGATGGTCAGCTTGAGTTGTTTCCCTTTTGGTTGCACAAACACATACCTCCATCCGGCTTTGCCTCCAAGGCCATCCATATGCAGAATGCCATAGGCCAGCAAGCCGCCCACTGCTCCCGAGATGGCAGCACAGCTCAACAAGTATGAAACACGCTTGGCTTGCTCCTCACGGCGATAGACCATGGTCAGATACAGGTTCAAGCACGGAAAGAGTCCAGCCTCGCAAGCACCTAGGATCAGCCGGGTGGCGTACAGCGAGCCCACTGATTCAATGAAACCCGTAAACACGGTGGTGAGGGACCAGACGATGCAGAGGCCAGTCAGGATGTTTCGGGGCGTCAGTTTCTTCATAAGTACCGCCCATACAGACTCAAGCAGGACATATGTGACGTAGAAGATGGATATTGCGGTTGAAAACTGGCTAGCGGAGGCGTTGATATCTTCGGGCATATGGGCCACCTTCACATTTCCTGTATTTTTGATCAGCTTGGATTCCCATCAGGGGTCCTCAAGGAACGTACCGATGTTTGACCGGTCCAAGAAGCAGGACAAATACGTGAGCATGATGATAGGCACAAAGGCAAGGTCCAGCTTGAGCAGTAGCTTTTTCTCTTCCTGTGGATCAAGCACCGTCTCCATTGATATTCCGGCTGATTTCTCATCCACCCCTTCTGAATCAACTTCACTGTGAATTGGGGTTCTATTCTCCAGTGCAGGCGCATCGTCATGCTGGGTGTTGAAAGCCATTGTGGGATAGAAAGAAAAACGGTTAAGCCAAACAAAGAATGAAGGTAGCGGAGAAATGGCTTGATTCTTGCAGTCTTGGGCGATGTTTTCAAAGATATCTGATGAGAGAACACCTCCAGGTAAGATAGCCGAAAGTGGAACCGTGGCTATCTCTGGTCTCTGCTCTTGGGTCTCCAGCCTCCCGCGCAGCTGGCTCCGACAAGAAGCGTCGGCCCGACGCAACCCTATCAGGGAACCTGGCAAAGTATGCAACAGTTAGGAATACTTGCAGCCTGTGCCCCATGTGGGGACGTTTCCCATAGTTCATTTTAAAAAGGTCAGGAAGGACACGAACCTTATGTGCCGGGCCGGACCCGACGGTTGGTATAGAGCAACCATCTTTTCTAGACCATCGGTAAGTGGGGCCCGACGCTTTGTGGAGATAAGACTCCAAACTGAGACGATTCTATGTCAAAATTGAGTTTCTGGCTCTTCGCCTCACATTCTCTCCGTTTCTTGGCAATCAAAGTCAAACCAATACACTTATTTGGCCATCATGCGGAGTGTCCTATCGCATCCCACGGGCACAGCTGCTATGTCGGCAGAACTTTCTCACAGACACCGCAGAAGCTGCGCCTGGCTATCTACAGCCAATTACTGGTTTTTCCAACGAAATATGCTGACGATTTCCATGATCTATGCTGCGCAATCTGCTCCATAGTCTGCCCCACTATAAGGCGAGCTCCTGTGGCTCGCCATACGAAGAATACTCTGTGTGGCGCGCCAATAATCAGAAAGAGTTCAAGGCTCGCCTACAATTTCTCCAACAGATAAATGGCGTCTGGAAAAGCCACCACGGAGAGGGACCTGTCGATTATGACTCATTCTTGATGGGAGGGGCTGCAAGAACATTCCGTGGCCTACAGCCGCAGAACTTAGTCCAGGTCCAGTGGAAATTCACGCTCCAAGACAGCTCGTGAATGATTCTTGACGTGGATGATCATTGGGTGGGCGGCGACCAAGAGTTTTGTGGCTTGCCTATCGCAACCTGGGCATGATAGAGCCGTTCGACCAGCCAACAAACCAGCAAACCAGCTTGTACGATTCTGTCATTACAGGGACGGCCCTTAGTTTGATTATAAGGTGGTTTCTGTGTCATCCCTTCTTAGAACCTCCCTCCCCCGGTCTGGTCTCACGCCAGGTAACGTGAAATCGGTTGTCAATATGACGGATCAGCTGGAGAAATGGGATACAATAGGCAATAATCTCTGGCTTCGGTCGGATATCGGCCAATATGACATGTCCCCGTTGCCCAGCGTTTTCAGAAAAGGATTGATCGCAATAATCCTCATCGCTAGTCTTTCAGTACTTACGACATTCGCACTTTTAATTTTCGTCGCGTACCGGTTGATCTTCTCGCGTTCACACTCCTCACGATACGTCGGCTACAATCAGTATATCATTCTAATCTACCAACTCATTCTTGCGGACTTACAACACTCATTGGGCTATTTGATCTCGGTGAAATGGTTAGTGGAGGACAAAATAACCGCGGACTCTTGGACGTGTTTTGTTCAAGGGATGTGGTTGCAGCTTGCAAACCCTGGCAGTGGTCTGTTTGTGCTGGCAATTGCCATCCACACGTGTCTGGCGGTTACGATGAACCGAAAATTGAGCTATAGAGCATTTGTTGCTTTTATAATTAGCATCTGGGTCTTCTTGGTGGCTCTGGTGATCATCCCAATCGCGATGCACGGAAGAGAGGCTATCGTCCCATCGGGTCCCTGGGTAGGCTTTTCTGTCTGTTTACTAGGAATGCAGGCATGTCTTCTAAACTAAAATGCTTTCTAGTGCTGGATCAATTCGAAATACGAACCACTTCGTCTCTACACTCATTATCTCTGGATCTTCGTTGCCGAGTTCGGCTCTGCATCCCTGTATGCAATCGTGGCGTTCCAACTACGCCAAATAATCACACAGTCTGCAATTCTCGAGAACAGACGCACCGAGAGTCTGCACCGGGTCGTTAGGTGCATGGCGATCTGCCCAATCGCGTACATCGTGCTTTCCTCCCGATTGCAGCGGGTCGCATGGCGATGATGCAAGGGATCACGCCAAGTCCCGCTTATTTCTGCGCCGCCGCAGCTATAATAACGTCCTCCGGGGTCGTCGACGTCACCATCTACACGCTCACTCGCCGGAACCTGATCACTAACTCCGAGCCGGGCTACGACCATAGTCGTGACCGTTTCGGCATCAGTACATCGCGCAAGCACGCGCATCACCTTGCAACCATCACCGCAGAGCCTAAAACCAATCGTGCGGGTATCAGCAGACTCAGGAGCCGAAGTCATAAAGTCACCCAGGCCGGTGGCAGCTCAACTGACAATATCGCGCACGATGTGAGCGAGGATTCGCCAGGCTTGGCCCAAACGTATAAGCTTACGACATTCGAGGTTACGAGTGAACGGGTACATCTATCCCAAGCTGAAGCGAGTAGGCGCATGAGCAGGGATTCAGAACGAAGTACCCCAGCTATGCCACCTACGGCTAAGTTGTGGGGATGGTGAGACCAGTGACCGCTTGTGCTATAATCCAGGTAAAATGGAAGAATTGCAGAATATCTTGATATACCAAGATTGTAATGCGTTAGTTGTATTAAACCAGCTGGAGGGGACTTCTTTCATTTGCGTTGTGACGATTCGTGTGCGTGGGTGCCTGATGATTGGATTCTGGCACCCCAGGCATCTATCTAGCCTGTAACATTACCCAACTTTCCTTGACATATCAACCACAACGTCCTCTTGGCCATCGCAGCTCACTCATTCAATGGTCGTACAACAGTATTGAGATATGGTGGTTGTCGAAATCGCCTTAACCAATATATCCTCGGTCACTCTTCTGACCCCACCGCCAAGGCCTTAGCGCAGATCATTTTCATTGAGCGGGCCGCCCTACAGTGACGCAAAAGTTTTGGAACACTTTGGGGCTCCCTTTCATGATTAGATAAGATACTGCCGGTTGCAAAACCTCCGCAAAAACGCCATAATAATAATAAATTTACCAAAACCTAGCTGGTACACTCATATTAGGCCCTAGTAAGGTTTGTACCACATCTCAGATCCGATAATTACTTCGAGTCTGTTAGGCATAGTCTCAGAAAGATGTTCTAGATGCCTCATGCTAAGCGTTTTCGTAGGCGGTAAGACCTATTTTAGGCGGTCAGTGAAGTGGGGCCCGTGGTGTTCCAAAAACTTTTGTCAAGTCTACGTTGAGGGCAGTAAAATTTTCCTTGTATGTTACAGTATATGAACTCTCTAAAATTACACGCGTGCAGACCATGGAAGCCGATGGTGATCATGCTAAAGAGTCGCCATGCATCATGTTTCCTGAGCGATCTGCCAGTTGACTGGAATCTTAGAACATTGCATAAGCAGGATAAAGCCGTATAAATTCTCCACTTCTCCCAGACCCTTCTTTTGCAAAGAGACTAGAAAATAGAGGAGAGGAAGCCAGAATTATCAACCTATATATAGACGACGACGGATTGTAGTAGCAGAAGGAAGAATAGGCATCGAGGGAGCTTTGCGGGTAAGAGAGACAAGGTTTTGTAACGTTCGGTGCTCAATTAGATGAAATGGAAGGCGATTTATTGTAAGAAAGTGTAGAATTGCCTCCTCCCGGGCAGCTTGAGAAAATGAAGCCGTAGATAATGATTGCTCTTATGGATCATTCAACGAGAATTATTAGTCAAATTCGAACTAGTCATATATGGGGTACATACTGCTGTTTTCATAAATTGAGTAATATCTGTCTTTCCTTCGGTCGCAGTCGGTTTACACGCTCCAGTCTTCAAATGCTTTATCATAGTCGACGTGCCTTGAAGACCTTTACCACTTTGAAATGGTGTCTGAGGGTGTTCTAGGATCTTGCAACAGCGTTTGCACATAACCTTGGGTGATCCATCGGTAATTTGGGCAACTTGTTCAAAGTCTTTCCAAATCTTTGCTGAATGCTCTACATAGTCTGTCTCTAGCCACCAATCAACCCATTCTATATGGGCCATAGTTTCATAAAAGGACAAAGGCTTTTCTTCGATTTGGGTCAACACTCGCAAAAGAGGGAGGAATAGGAGATGGAACAACTGGTCTGATAAAGTCAGAAACAAATGTATCCAATGCTGGCTGGCTGCTCGAGAGGGTCAAAGGTTCATTAAATGACGTTAAATAACCAAGGCTGTCTGTTTCACCATCGTAGGAAGAGGATAAAAACCCAAACTGCTGGCTTTGGGACATTGCAAATTTAGAAGAAGAATAATCAAATGCAAGGGGAAGAGGGTAGTAGATAGGTCAAAAGTAATATTGAATGATAACCAATGATTGTCTAGAGTATCTATATTAAAATGGGACTGACCAATTAAAACCTATTAGAACATATCCAAACCCATGCAAACCTATTAGAACCTATCCAAGCCCATAAGAAACCCAGTCAAACCCATCTAAACCCATCTAAGCTTATCAGAAACCTTTTCCCTAAGCCATTCCCCTGAGTGACCCTTGAAATATTCTATAGTTCGAATCTGGAATATTTAGCAGGACAACCAATTAAGGAGTTCTGTCACTTTCCCTTAGAAGATACACCCTTACCCTGCTGCTAAATTTGATTCGATATACTGCTAAAGTCATAGATTGTTCAAGTAAAAGGAGTAATAAAGAACTTTATAGATAATATCATAATTGTGACGACGTGGAAAATATATCGAAGTTGGCCTTTGTTATTATATATTCCTACTAATATTGACATTTTCGACTTGACTTACTGAACTCCCCGTTCAATAAGCAGAAGCGGGTTCTTCTTAAATTCAAATAATAGGAGATATGTCTTTCAAGAAGACATTTCAAAATAAGTAATCAAGATTGTTGACTATTTTGTGAATATCTTTTAGAGACAGAGGAAAACGTGTGTAAAATACAATCTTTTACATTGATTAGTGAGCAGCTTTATGGACACCAAAAGCAGAATTTAATGCAAAGATGGGTTCTAATGGGTTCGGATGGGGACCGACCCATAATCCATATGGGTTGGGTTTGGGTCCAGACCTTGAACCCATGATGGGTTTTGCTGAAGTCTAGCGGCCTACCTTCTTAGTAGGGGCGAGGGACACAATAGTGTGTGTCTTAAGATGGTTACGGAGGTTGCTAGGGGTAGAAAACGTAAACTGCTATAGTTAGAATGATTTGCGAATATATTAGCAATTAATTGTAAAGGGTATTAACGGATGTTAGATAAAGTGCAACTAGGACGCGACAGAAGACTTCGCCGGCTATTAATTCGATATTGCTGTTAGCATCCTAAAATGTGTTAGAAATGAACTAGGAATAATTAGGAATGTAATCAGGAATGTAAAACTCACAACATCATAACTAGGAAGTGGGTTAGCGCCCTCTAGGTAACGCTGGAAGGAGGGGAGGTGCCCAAGGAAGGTCGACATAGTAGGCGAGGCGCGGAGAGGGGAATAAAATAGGAAGGAATTGAAAATGAAAGGACCAAGGGTATTGGTTGGTAAATTACCTTGCGGAAAAGGTAATGTTTTGAAAGAATGAGAAGGAGGGGAAGGCTTCGGGGTGTATTGCCAAGCCTTTTATATCTCTTAGCATTGAAAATGGACTAATCAGTAGTGATGGTGTAATAACGAAATTGGCCAACTCATTACGAAATCTTGAAATTTCAATTTTTTTCCTCCTTTCAATTACATTTCAAGGGGCTTCAGCTTGATGAGTCATCATTAACGGTGAAAGCTTTCAGCCAATAGGAGCCCGCGATAAAAGGTTCTGCCGTCTCATCTCTGTCTAGAATATTTGCTGTAACTCCTAGCAACAGCTGCACAAATATATATCCATAATATGTCCGGGATGCTCTCACCCCTTCGTAGTTACATGTTCTCGGAAATGGCCGACAACTCTTCTGACAAGGTCTCTTACACCGAGCTAGAACTTCAAAGGTGCTTTGAAATCATACAGGGGAATAAAAAGGTAAGGACTGACTCGCTAAATCCAACCTGTACTCCCCTAACTATGGCTAGGTGCCCCAAGCAAAATGCCTCGGATGCTTTAAAATTCGCGCCAAAAACACGACTCGTCAGAGTGAGCACGTTAATAAATGCATCAAAGCACAGGCTCTGATGGATCCTGAGACCGCCACGGGGAAGAAACAGAAACTGCTAAGTTTTTCTACTTCTCAGCCATCCCGGGGTATTGATCAGCTAATAGCCCAGGTCTGCTTTACTGGAGCCAGGCCATTTAATCTCTTTGATCAGCAAGAGATGCGTGACCTCATCTATGCGTTAAGTCCAACGTATCAAATCCCTTCTCGACACCGAATCGCCGATGATCTGCTGGATGAAGCATACCATGGACTACAGCAGGAGGTGCTTAAGGAGCTGCGAAGAACCCAGTTCCTGAATGTGACGGTGGATGAGACCACTAACATCCGATCTCAGCGGGTGATTGTGATGACTATAACAACGCCGACGAAGTCGTGGTTTATTCATCTTAATGACATGGAAGACAAGACTCTTGATGCTCCTGCTATTAGTAGTTGGATCTTAAACAGGCTCCAAGGCATCCTATTACAGCTAGACAAAGTCGTTGACTGGAATAGGATCAATTCTATTTCGACAGACACATGTCATGTCATGAAATCAGTCTGGGAGAAACTGGAGGCAACCCCAGAACTCAGACACTGCTTTATGATTCCCTGTGACTCTCACGGCCTACAGCTAATTATGAAGGATATCGTTGATCCTAAGTCCTCAAAGGTTCCACGGGCGAAAGAGGTGTTTAGGTCTGCCCTTGAAGTTGTTGTCTTCTTCCACCACTCACCACTTGAGTACGCAAGGATGCAAGCAAAGCAGATTGAGAAGTGGGGCCATAGAAAGGCGCTTATTGCGTCGGTCATTACACGATGGGGAACGCAATATAATATGCTGTCATCACTTCATGATTGCCAAGAAGCCATCTGCGAGTGGACTCTCGCAACTCCTGCTGCTTCGACTACAAGGGGGAGGGAGATCGTTCGGACTGCTAACTCTCATTCTTTCTGGTGGCAACTAAAGGAGTTGATCAAGATACTTAAGCCTCTGCATATAGCCCAGAAGGAATCGGAAGCTCGGAACTCGTCAATCATGGAGGTAACGCAACGGTGGTTATATCTCCATGAAAGTCTGCGAACGCTGGCTTCCCAAACATCCCTCAAGGATGACTTTTTATCATATCTGGATGGCATAGGCTGGCAAAGTCGTATAACGCGTCAGCTAGAGCCTATTCACTGGGTAGCTTATCATCTTGACCCTGCTAGAGTCCCTGGAAAAGTTGACGAGAGCTCTCGATATCACATTGAAGGTGTTCTACGGCCTCTTCAAAACGAAGATAAAAGCTCGTCTGCTTGGCACGAATTTCTGTCGTTTCGGCAGAAGACAGGTGCATTTTATAATGCTTCTTGCTGGAAGGCTAACTGTCCATCTCTCTTTTGGCTTGAAGCCGTAAGTCGAAGCTTTCAACTAGAGAGAAAAAATACTTATCATTAAGATCCATTTATAGGCGGACTTTGCTCCTATTCTTGCTCCTTTTGCCCGTCGTCTTTGCAACACTGTGGCGAATTCCGCAGCAGCGGAGAGAGCCTTTTCACAAATGAACCTTCAGCACACAAAAGTCCGGAATCGGCTCGAGCCTCACCGCGTTGAAAAGTTGCTCTTTGTCCAGATCAATAAACGACAATTCCGGACAGAACAGCCTCCTAAAATCACCCAAGAGTTCCTTCTTGAGGAAGAAGACAACGAAATAGAGAGGGTTTTGCAGCGTAAGCAGGTGCAGGACCATCTATCAGAGGGTTCTGTGACTTCGGATACTTCATCGAATCCCGCATCTAGTCCTACGCCAAGTCCTACGCCTGGTGTAGGGTCGAATGTCGTGTCAACTTTAGACATAAATCCCGACTTGAATCCCGAGCCAGAACCTGAATCAAATTCGGAACAAGATCCAGAACCAACTTCTGCACCGAATTCTGCACCGACTTCTGCGCTAGTTTCCGCGTTGAATTCTGCGTTGAATTCAGCTTCAGGTTCTGCGAATCCTGCCCTGGTTTCTGCGTTGAATTCGAGGCTTAACTCTTTGCTTAAGCCAAATTCGGAGCCTCTCCCGAGTCCTCCAACGACATCTACGCCAAATTCAGCTCATCCCATACGCCCGAGCTCGATCAGAACCAGTACTGATAGAACAGTTGAGGTTGGCAACACTAAAGGGAAGAAGCGTTTATCTGAATGGCCTCAAGGAGTTGCAGAGCATTGCGAGCAGCCAGCTCAACGGCGGGGTGTAAATAAAGGCTGATGTCGATTTCACGCCCTCCGCATTTAGGGTTCTGATTGGTAGCAAATAAAATAAACCCTACCGTTTACGGAATAGCTCGATTTCAAGATTTCAAGGCCCATTTCAAATTTCATTTCAAGAGGCCAAATTACAGAAATTTCGAAATATTGAAATTACATTTTGCCTTCCCTACTAATCAGATGTGATACAAACAGTGCAAATAATTTTGCTGTGGCAGACCCACATTTTGCTGACCACCTGAACAGCATTCCAAAGTTGAGGTGACACTATCAATTTCTCAGAGAAACGCATGGTATCCCTAGTGATTCCACTAGTCAGAAAGACTGTTGATTAGGTAAGGAAAGGGGATGGAGGAAGGTAGAGTCTTGGTTCAGAGCAGTATGTCCAGAATACACATGAACTAGTAGATACAGTGCGTGTGCGATTGTTTAATCCCAGTCATCCGTTTGCTAAGGGTTCGATGCCCTAGACGCAGGCTTCCGGCATCCGGTCTTTGGCACTAGGAACAGAGAGGGAAATCTTTTACAAGTTTCGTCATGGCCTCAACAAGGATGCGACAAGGGCTCATGAAACTATCCGATATATTAAGCTTCTCTGACTCGTTCCCACTCTCTCCTTCTCCCCACGTTGAATGTCTTCGTCGATAGCTACTACATCGAATGCATCATTCCACAAAGAGAGCTTTAAATACACAAGCTTTCCCAAAGCAAGCAAACAGACACCTGGGGCAGACAATCCATGAACGGCAACGCCCGAGATTATTCCCATGTCCTCCTTTGTCTTCGCCAGAACGTCACATTCGCCACAGCTGGGCTGGACCTCCTGCAGGCAGTTATGGTTATGGTTCCAAATATAGAGGTCGAAGTCACAGATATTTGGAGATCGGGATGTTATTGGCGCCAGTGATGAGAGCTATACACGCGAAATGAGTTCGGCCAAGTACGTGTTCAATATCGATGGTGATGGAAGTCTGAGCTGAAAGCACAGCTACGCAAGGAATCTTGAATCTTATGAAGCTCTGAAGATCTATCTGAAGGGAAAGAAGCATCATCTTCGTATGGCCACTCAAGACCACGCGAAGAATCTCTTGGAAGGGAAAACAACACATCACCAACGGAATCTTACGATCGGAAAGCTGCAAGACACATTCAGAGGAAGACAGAGCAGAACAGGAGAAACCGGAAGGGTACATCTGCGACAAGAACCAGGGTCCTAACGGGAAGAAACATCGAAGCCAAAGACTTCTGCAATGTCTAGTGGCGAACTGCGCTGCGGTCTGCAACAAAGGCCCCCGGTGGGATACCCTATCTCCACCAGAGGGCTTAACCTGAAGCTCTGGGGAATATAGGATATATCCTTCTGTTAAGGCAAGTCGAAGCGGCAATATGTGATCTTAGCGAGACTGATGGCGTTGGTAAAGCTGGGGACTATGAACAATGTCACTCGCAACTATGTAACGATAAGTACGAGGTCTCTATTTCTTCCATGTTGTATCGCGCCTGTACAACCACTGGCCTGGATGTACCGCTACCCTCTTATACCCCAAATTTCCCTCGACTAAAGTTAGAATAATAGGTACAGTGAGAGAAACCTGTCTCATGTACCTATTATTATCCGTTGTCAGAGTAAGACGATCGTACCACCTAGAAAGAGTCAGCGCAAAAATCTCTCGCAAATGTCGACCACTTGACAAGGCAGGTCCTAGGACTTTCTCTGCTAGTGTAGTAGGTAGGCTCACATTCCCAGGCCCCATGGGCTCTGCTCCAAATTCACTTCCACAATGGGGGACTGCACCTGTCAGTTCTCGATCAAAAATACACTTGACTCTCAAGACATTAGATGGATTCTCACATTCCGCACATCATCGTGATTTGTCTGACACCAGCGTTTTAAGTACTGTTCCAAAAACTGAAGCGATGGGCTGTGGCTGCAAGTCACTTCAATCCTATTTCCCGCCAAATCATGCACTTGGAGGAAGAAAGGGGGTGTAAAAAGAGCTGGTCAGGCCGCTCAAGTTTCTGTATGTCGGGGAAGTATTCCACCTCATACGAGCAGTTAAACGCAGATGGCGCAGTTCGTAGATTCTGGACTACGTCCAGTTTTCCTATAGCCGTATCTGCTTTGGGATTGGCCCCATCATCAACCACAACAGGAGCGGCCGCCCTCTCTGGAAGGGGCAGGGCAGGTTTCTCTGGCTCCTCGAAGCATCCGAGCAGCTCATCCATAAACGTGGGGAAGTATCTGGTCGGAAGCATGACCTGCCGCCTGGGGAGGTTGACCACAAATGCCGACCGTTCCTTCGACCAAGACGTGGACGGATAAGACGAGTTGGCAACCTAGTGAGGTAAGTGTTTGAGGACTATTATCGTGGAATACATTCCTGCCTACCTCGATCAAGAGTCGCAAATGTGACAACGGCTGGAGATACGTGAGAAGGGTCTCCGTCCATTTCTCATTGGTTTCATCCGCGAGGAGCTCGGTCATACTCTTACACCATACTTCAACTGCCTGAGAGACAGTGGCAACAAAACCGCGTTCGTCTGGGTAGATGTCGCCCATATCAGCAAGCAGGAGTCGCCATTCTGGCTCGGCGAGAATTTCATACCCCAGCAGCTCCCTAAGACCTCCCATAGACTTCTGAAGGGGGCTGCCTGCCTTGTCCCAGTGGTCACGGATTCCCAGGCGCGCTTTAAGGTTCCTGGTTTTAAGCTCCACGCATTAGCAGATCATGAACAGTTTGTGGTAAGGGTTTTGGGTCATCCGTACAGGAGCGTCATCTTGCTTATGAAAATAAGATCTTGCGGCGGCAATATGACGTTTCAAAAAAAGCCCAAGAACTTCAGATGACAACGTGGATACGGAATATGCGGTTTCGACATTCCCTGGCTGGTATGTATTTGTGGTAAAATAGGATCAAAGGAGTCAACTAAGGCCCGTGGATTTTTTTAGCTCCAAGCTCCTAGCGTTGACATTAGCAGCCTGGCGAGACACGGCTCGCAGCATGAACCCTGAATTTAATACCTTGTTTCCAAGGGCCATATTTAGTGGAGGGAAGCGGTTGGTCCGTTAAAATCAATAGAGAATTATCCTGAACGTGAACACGGAAGGAAGGTTATCCACTTACTGAATGTTACCACAACTTCATACCCACCGTTACATACGCACAGCCTGTATACAAGGAACAATACGGAAAAGCTGGTTAGTGAAATACGACATTTCAATTCTGTTACCATTGTCTCCCGTGGAGGAACAATATAAATAGCTTTCGATAAGCTCCAGGTCATCCTGATACATAGGAATGTTATCTTCTGATCAGCCTGAGAATCTCATATGTGACACCTGGTGAGTCTTATGCTCCTTGCAGAAACTGTAGGCGAGCTACTTTAACAAGGAACTAGTCCTCGGAGAATACGAGCACGAGTGGGTCATACAGTGGTGCAACAAAAGTATTTGACCTCAAGTACTTCGTTCGGCCCATGACCCACTTCTTTAATGCTGCCTAGCAGAAACATCCGAAAACTAATCCAATTTAATAGCTAGTATGCCGCCCTTTATAATTAATAACATAAGTCACCCTATAAGGCATAGTTTCGAACAGATTCTTAAAGGTCTCAATATATAGGCCTTCCTAAACCGAAGAATTGTCGAAACGCGTTGAAATATGATGTATATGCTAGCGCATTGAAACGCGCGAGGTTTGGCATACTAATAAAGTAGGCGGTATAAGAGATGGTCAAGCTAAAAAGTGGATCCCGAAGTACTCGAGGTCAAATACTTTTGTTACACCACTGTAATATAAGTGTTTCACCGGAGCTGAAGGAATCAACGAGATGTAACAGAGACGTTGTTTTTGAGACAGTTGCATCAGCTTTGTATTCGTTCGTAACAGGAAGTTTCAGAAAAGCAAAACAATTGCGGGCGACGACTGGCGGTGGTTCTTAAAAGGCTACAGAGCCAAGTTTCCCATGAGCAAAATCCCTCCAACCACCAGGCAATCCACCATTGCGCTGGGATTCATTCCTCGCTTGTTTGACCTGCTTTGGGACTAATGCCTGAACTCTAGTAAATCACCAAGTCCACATGTCGAATATGGATTGTGGTAAAAAGTTCAAAATTCGCTCATGTTTTATATCGGCGATTTCTCAAGTTGGACCAATGGAGGTGATCTAGCATTAATGAAAGGGAAAATCCCTGAGCAGATTCAACGGGAGGTCTGAAATGGTTGGGCAACAATTGGAATCATTGGACCTTAAAGGTTTGTGAAAATGTGGTTTTTCAACCACGATCCTTTCATGTACTTTCTCCCTAGCTCCACTGTTTTACGGCTAGCGTTATATGGTCCCGCTCCTCGTTACCACGGAAACATTATGTATCGGCCCGAGAACTTTATATTGTGGGGGCAAATTGGACAGAAGTGGGGGCAAAGACACTAGAGGCTCTTACAACTGTACTATTCCGATCCTGCCTTCGTGGATACAGGGAATACCAAGCGCTGTCCGGGTAATCCCAAAAGATCGTTTGTTGATATCTTGCCTGGATCGTCAAGTAGATAGTCGTCTCTGATATTAGCAACTAATTAAATTGCGCGATTCGCGACTTTGCCGAACCGCGAAAAGTGGGGTTTAAATGAAGGGATTATTGATTTACTGGCCACCCAGCTGTTGCTGGATTTCGAGGCGTGGGCTAGTCACACGAAGTTATTCTCTATCTTCCAACGCGTTAAAGGGAGTCTTTCAAGCGTTTTTGTAGGCCAATCATACATAACCGCCTGCTATCAATAATACGAAAATGACGGAGTTTCCAGCACACGCACATATATTGTCATGTTTTGTCATAGGTGCATTTAGCTCCGAAACTTGGCAAACTCAGCTTATCCAATATCCAATCTGTATCAAAGAAAAAGTCATGCGCATTACTGACAACAAATATCTATTCAATGCCACCTCAAAAAACCAGGCTAGTTTGGCGTGACTATCACGTCTGTTGTGTAGGCGTTTCAGAGCAGTTTAGATTCAGAAGTCCGCATGGATTCAAAGTATAAACATGACCTACAGAATGTCCACTAATTTTGAAGTAGCGTAGTGGATATTCGTACCCCAATTCTCAGGCGTGGTCTAGAACTCATCAGTTTCAACTCAACAAATAGTAAGACACAACTCACCTGGATAACTAGTGCGCCGTCATCAATCACAATCTCGTTGTGTCCAGTCTGGTCCGTTGTTAACGTATCCACGATTCGCAGCTTCACAACACCTTGCGGTGCGGCCTCCGCAAGTCCATCCCTTAGCATATCATCTTCAGCAAATTTCTCACTAGCCAAAATATCCAAGAAACCCTCATAGTAACCTATGGCCAACAACCCTAGGTTGGTTTCCCAATCCTCACGCACGTCTTTCCCCGCTTGGAGCTTTGCTCCTATATCATTGAAGCCGGGCTCGAATTTCAACTCAGGGTTCTGGAGCGTCTTTTGAGCCTTCTCCAAGTAAGCACCGATTTTGGCATCGTAATCAGTCTCGATAGAGCGACGAGCTGCGAAGCTGAGATATGAAGCTCCATCAGGCTGAGGAGCTGTCGAAAGAGTCTCGATGAGGTTTTGGGCCAGGTCGTTAATGTTGGTACCGAGTTTTTCGGGATGGAAGAGTAGAGAGAGACGACCATCGGTGACTGCAGTTCCGCAATACCTGAATTTAGTGGATGCGACAAGAGTCACAACGTGAGTTGGGCAGACTCTGTTGAGCTCAATTTTGCCGCTATCGCCGTGCTTTTCGAGGAAGGATCTTAGATTCCCGATGAAATTATCGCAGTAGCTGGTTGGAGAAATATCAGTGGTGTGGCTTGAATATAGACACTGTGATTAAGAAACTGACGCAAAGATACAATCCCCGAGTGAGTCATATCCATACGACCTTTCTTCGGCATAAGGGAAGATAGCTAGCGGGTTGACTTCGAAGGTCCAAGCCACGCCAAGGAGGGTCAAAAGCTGAGCTTCAAGATCTACCTTCCGGTTCTCCCAACCATCTCGTACTGTTCTTCATCAGCACGCTTTCAACGATGTGCAGTGCTTCATTGAGGGGAACTCCTTACCGTTTTTCCGAACGGCGAGAGGAAGCTTATCAGCAGGCGCTTTGTTTGCGGACACCATGATCACTTTCATTAATCAAACGATTTGAGATTTATGGTGGGTTATTCGCGGGCACTGAGTGGCACAAGGGGAACAGACGAGTGCAATATATACTTAATTTCCTCACGCTTCAGTCCCCGCTCGAAACAACTTCGTCCAAGAAAGGAATGGCAGGTTATGGAAAGTCATTGACAAGAAGCTCTTCATTGTATCCACCTTCACCGGAACTTAAACTGTAATGCCCAATCAATAAGCGTAACAGGAAACGTTTAAACCTCGTATTTTCAGAGGGTGACAAGCTCCGCACCACCGTGAAGTGTTTTCGGCTCTCACCTCGCCAAGCCCTGTCCCAGGAAACGAACAACCCCTTTCACTACAAAAAGGGGTAAAAGAGGCCAAGAATAGTTGTCAACCCTCTCGCTTGTCAGTTCTGCTAACGGCCTAGCTTAAAGTTTAATAGATTATTTTTCATGCCTTGAAACGAAGGAACATACGAACATATCTGTTATCTGTCGGGCCGCCGTGGGGCCTTTGTGAACTGGGCTTACCATGACTGGCAAATGGGAGATGTGCAGGAGCTGGAACAAGGTCCAATTTTGAGAAGAAACTTTCTCTGCTTCATAAGGCCAACGTCTTGTTTCGATGTCAACTGGACTTCAGCTCTTAGCATCGGCCCGATAACTTGAAGTATTCTATTGGAGCAACCCTGAAACCATTTCTAATAGAGTTTCCGTTGACAAATAAACATTAGATTCCTTGGAGGGTTATTCGGGGGAGGCGGTGTCTTTCTGGTCACGCAACTGTTTGGCTAGAATAGACCGTTGAAATCAGTGAACCCTCCTTTCTCTGACACGCAAATTACTGTTGCGGTTTGAGGCAGCTACTGCTCAGGGACGAAACCGCAACATCGTAAATAATTCCTGCACTATCTATACGAAGACCAAGTTAATTGGAGATCAACTTGGGCTTCATGTTGTATATATAGCCGATTGTATTCCTTCAGAAACAAGAACAATCCAAGCTTCCTTTGATACACAACAATTACGACACGGGCCATTCTACCCTGCTCTTTCAATTTCGGAACGATACTCCAGGACTTGCCCTAGAAGGCGGCGGATTGGCGAGAGAATATGGTCATGTTTCATATCTGTGTTTTTTTTTTTTTTTCAGTTCGACGAGTGGAGGCGATCCCGCATGAAATACGGAGAATATTGTGGGTGGCGATGACGTATCAGGGGCAGGGCAAGGGAGTCGGTGAAACGCTGGCAGCGGCTCTCTCCTTCACAGCGCAAGGAGGCAGGCGACGAGATGTGCCTTCATGGGTCTGGTTACCACTCTGGAAACCCCCAAGATAAATTTCGGATAGGCTCCCCGTCGGGCCGACGCGGGCCCTAATAAGACAGGCGATCCGGCCGCCTGGTTTTGATTGGTCTCGTAGGCTCTAGTGACGTGGAGAGACGCCCAACTTTTCCCTTGGCTGTCGGCAAGTGGAGCCCAACTTCAGGGAAGAAACACTTCCACCACGTCCGTCAGCGATTTCATTCAAGTATAGAAATGGTATAACGTTGACTGAGGCTTCATAAATATGTGCTATTACATAACCTAGGGTGTCTCTAGTTATCAATTCTCCTTTTGTTGTTGTGAGATTTCGGCAGTTTAAGTCATTGATACACGTGATCCTTCCATTCCATCTCACAGCCAGTTGTTAAATACGTGAATCCACTCGGATTGGCGAAATGGTTCCTTTAGGTATCGCCTTTCAACAAATTTGAAATTCCCTTCCCCCTTACCAGGGACTGAAAGGCCGAATTCTGTGCTTCAGATCATTCGTCCACTCTCAATACAGTCAGCAACCTCGGTCTTCTCTACTTTGATCAGGGGAAGGTGAAGGAGGCATAGGAGATGTACCAGCGAGCACCAGCAGTCTACGAGAAAGCCCTTGGTCCAGATCACAGTAGGACCCAGCGACTTGCAGAGAGGGTTTGCAGATGTACAGTAGGAGTATCTTCCCTGTAGGAAATAACTACTTAGTACGCGGCTGCTCTACGTTCACGGCAAAGAGTAATTTGATTCCTGATCATGCCGAAAGTATCTGAAAGACGTTTATTTTGTATTTGTAAGCTCTATTGAAATTGGAAATGACAGTTTGGAGAGGCTGGGGAAAGATCCAGGGTTGCTGAATAACGCAATTATGAGACCAGTAGTTAAAGGATTCTGTGTCTATCGTGCGGCTGAAATGAAAAGCTGGTCCCACGAGGCAGTTCTCCCAGTAATAAGACATTGGGCTTACCGTACCATACAAGCTGCGTTTTGCGATATCCCTCAATTTAATGCTGCCCCCTCAATAGATGATCTGCGCTCAGGACTTGGCGGCGGGGCCCATGAAGAGTTACTCAATGTGTATTGGTCAAGCCGATTTCGAGAATCGCTGTACGTCATTCGCAGCTGTCACAAACACGTTAATCTCCTCCCCACCACCACGAGACGAACACCCAGGACACAAAATGGCTCCAAATCTGCCCTCTTCCACTCGAGGATATATTCGCGATATGATGTTGAGCAAATCACTGACTACAGCCTAGATCGCTGATGCCACAGAATGCAGCCCGTGTTCCGTTACCACCATCCGCAGCAATTTGTACCAGTTTGGTGATACCGTGATACCAGAGCCCCTCTAATCGAGTAGGCCGACCCCGTAGTATCACGCCACTAATGCTGCAGGCTCTTTGCGACCATTTACTGGAAAAGCCCGGACTCTATTTCGACGAGATGCCACTTTTTTTGTGAGGTGACTTTGGCACGTACGTAACGGCAAAGAAATAACCAAAGAAAACTTCGCAACAAAATGCGAGGGAACGGAATGCCGATTAACGAGATTGTTATTTACATGGTTTGTCCGGGTTCCGGTCGTACCATATAGTGCATATCGACGAGTCCGGGTGTGATCAAGGGATTGGCTTCCGGAGAACTAGTTGGTCACCGCTCAGCATAGCACCAGGCCAGCTGTCTAAATTCCATCGCGATCAACAGTACTAGATACTGCCAGCCTGCTCTCAGGATGATAGCGTCATGTCACGAGCGTTTCCGGGTTTGACCAACGGGCCAGTTTTCGAAGGTTCTTTTGAGGAGCTCCTGCAGCATTGCGGAAAGTGGCCGGAATCCAATTCTGTTCTGGTGACGGACAACGCCCCCTTTCACCATTCTGACCCGGATAGAAAAAATGTGTCTCGATGCGGGTGTGAAAGTAACGTACCTGCCTCCGTACTCACCACCCCTGAACCCTATCGAGGAGTTTTTTGCTGAGTTCAAAGCGCTTATCCGGAGACATTGGGCAGTCTATGAGAATAATTCTGTTCAAGCCTTCGATGATTTCCTAGAGTGGTGTGTGAGTTGCGTAGGCGCAAGGGAGAAAAGCGCACACTGTCACTTTTGGCATACAGGCGTTAATGTTGAGGAGATATAATACAGACAAGATCGTTTAAAACACTGATATCACTTAACTCGACTCTTAGTGTACCTCAACAAAAGGGGCAAAGTGGTGAATATATTTCTTCATTTTGAAAGGTCTTTGTGTTGCAGTATACAGTATGATGATTCTCTATAAATTTGTTCTATTCAAACTTGAGGAACGCTTGCGTATGATTTCACCCAATGGTGATTTCAGAAACGAACTGGCGCGCTACTCCCACACTAATTCCCTGCTCCACAAAGAAATCTGGCTCTTGATCACAATGAATCTGCTGAAGATCAAGGCTATTGGCGAGTGCCAAGTCTCGTGCTTTGCGGATGTCGTCTTTGAGAATGCCCCTATTCACCCATGATCGCTGCCACTTGGTATACTCCTCCACTGTCACATCAAGGACACCAGGTATTTCAACTGGGTCAGGAGTTATAATCTTCGATGCAATCGAAGGGCAAGAGATTGGGCGTTTCAACCGATTGCAACTGGTTGTGATGCCTGATTAGGAAGTACAGTGATATATAAGACTTTTTGCGCGTAGCCTAGCAAGACAGGCCCATTTTCTCTTCCAAACCACCCCTACGTGCTCTCCCCTCCTATAGTCCCACTACCGTAGTGGCCAACCTGTTCGCAGACAGACAGGGAGAGGCGGGACTACCTACGATTCCCCTTTTCAATATATATATATAAATGTATTACATTTGACGTATATAAGCTGTCACCCGCCTTTATTTAATTACACATCAGGAGGCACAGTGGTGGAATACTCAAAAGGCGGCCGCAACGCCAAAGCGGAGGTACTCCCTGCACTAGACCTCCCATCAAAGCCAATGTTCTCGAGCGGAATGCCACGAGTCTTTCTCCTAGTGGCTCTCCAACGAAACCTTAGGGGAGATCTGGACTTGATGTTTGAAGCCCACATGCTTTTGGATATTGGGAGCGCAGTTGAAATGTAGATAACGGCGTTCCAAGAGCCTTGTAAAGATAGAACCAAGGCTCCTGTCAAATTCAAGCCGAGATTAGCTTCGCTGGGGTTGATCAAACTGTAGATTCGATTAATAGACGACGGTAACTGGAAAACCAATCAGCGAAGGTCCGAGGCGAACTTGTATAAGTTCGAAGAGTGTCAATATGGAAGTAACAAATAAGAGGGAAGATGAGGTCTGCGTAGGAAAGAGGATATCCATACCCAGGCAACTACCATTGCGATAAAGAACAAAAAGGAATATCTCAAATAGCTCCACATTGCGTTATTCTTGTTGATCTGGGCGTCTATAGCGCTTCCCGATATGGACTGCTGAGATTCGACGTAGACTGAATACGGGGTTGATGGCTCGACAGTCAAGGCTTCCACCATAGCATGGGTTACATCGATGGTGACTGATCGAACACCCTTGATTACTCCGCTGACAGGCATTGCGTTTTTCGCCGCATGTAAAGACCTATGATTTTGGAAGATGTTGGTGCCGACTGCCGCGTAGATCGTAAATGTCACGATACTCACAACCCTGTGAGAAAAGGAAAGTCAGTTCTGATGCTGCGAAAGAGTTTTGGTTCGACCCTACCATACTGGACCATAGAAACACACCAAGCGGAGAAATCGCCATGGTTCGGTAATTGAACACCAGATCTAATAAGGAATCAGCTTCATATTACAATAGTCTGCCAGGTGATTGAGTACCCACCAAGGCTGGTCCATATATCCTCCCTCTTTCAGTTGTCCGTATGAGGCTCAGCGCTGTCGCAAGTGCTAGTGGTAGCCCATAGCAAAGAACAAAATACCACTTTTCTAGCCTCTTCAAATCTTCTGCTGAGTACCTCCGGTAAAAAGTAAGATATATATTAATTGCCAGGCAGAAGGACCATAAAGTATCGGTCGGCATCCAACTTCAATTATAACAATCAGCTACCTGCAGCGTTCCTTATGCGGCGAGTGAGAGACATACTATTGGATGAAAAATGCCTGTGCAAGGCAGAAGGCAGAATCCGGACCCTTTGAAACACCATCCCTGCTCATTAGAGACGGAAACATTGGCTCTCCCCCAGCAGCCTTGTATCACTTCTTCAAAGGATGGCCCCCAACTCCGCGAGGGATAGCAGGGTTAATACAGTGGCTTTTTGCATCGTGGGACCCTGCTCTGGAATGTCAGTGTCTCCAGTCTCCGTGGAAATAGCTTTGCTGAGAGGGGAGGGCATCGACCCAGCAAAACCTTGAAAGTTCTACCAGTGAACCAAGCATGCCATTACTCTTCGAATATTTGCCATTTTGCACCCATAAGGGGCCCCGAAGGTAGGGATTTGCTGGAGAGGCGAGGCTGTTTGCCATGGTCCATCCCCATTAGATCAGCGAAAGGCCCGTCTTATCTTATGTCTCAAATTAGAACTCGGTAAACCCATATACTCATGATATTCTTCTCACTGCAGGCTGCCATTATACTTGCTGGTGGCTTACAGGACTGGATCGATTTCGGTATCATTTGTGGCCTTCTTGTTCTCAACGCCGCTATCGGATTCATTCAAGAGTACCATGCAGGCAACGTCGTTGATGATCTCAAAAAGAGTCTTACCATTAGAGCCCAAGTCGTTCTCAATGGTGCTCTTAAAGAGATATATTCCGCGGAAGTTGTTGTCGTTGATGTTCTTCATGTGCAAGATGTAAATCAATGAACATCAAGACGAGGACTATGGCCAACAACTGACATTTGCTTTAGGGGACGATTTTTCCCGCCGACGGTAGACTTGAATCGCAAAATGCTTATCTACAGGTCGACCAGTCTGGGATCACCGGAGAGTCTCTCGCCGTCGATAAGCACAGTGGGGATGTGTGCTATGCTTCGTCTGCCGTCAAGTGTGGCGCTGGTTTGATGATTGTGACTGCCACTGGTGATCATACATACGTCGGAACTGCGGCTGCCCTGGTCAACAAGGCTTCCGGCAGTCCTGCACACTTCACACAGATGTTGAACGGGATGGCGCATATCCTTCTAATCTTTTTGGTTCTCGCCCTCCTTGTAATCTGGATTGCCAGCTACTATCGTTCGAGCGGCATTTTGCATATCCTAGAGTTTACTTTGGCAACTACTGTGACCAGAGTGCCGGTTGGTCTTCCTGTGGTAGTCACCACTACAATGGCCGTGGGTGCAGCTTATCTAGCCAATCTCAAGGCAATTGTACAAAAGCTGTCAGCTATTGAGTCGCTAGCCAATGTTGAGATCCTTTGTTCTGACAAAACTGGAACATTGACTCGAAATCGAAAGACTGGCGGGATCGATGCCATCGACAAGGAGTTTCTCAGGGGTCTAGGCAACTACCCATCGGCCAAGTCATCAGGTTCCTACATGCAGAACCATCGAGTTTACTCCATTTAATCCCGTGTCAAAAAGGCTTACTGCCACTTGTGGAGAATCGTGACCAAGAGCGAATAATCTGTGTCAAAGGAGCACCAATGACGATCCTGCGAACTGTGCAGGCAGAGAGCACCTTATGTGGGCCTTTCGTTGACGAGTACAAGGCCAACGTCGCAGAGTTTGCTGATCGAGATTTGGTGCTCACGGTGTTGCCCGCAAGCGCCCCTCGAAGAACTGGGAGATTCTAGGAATCATGCCCTGCTCTGACCCCCCTCGCCATGACACTGCTAAAACGATCGCTGAAGCCCAAGGTCTGAGTCTCTCCATGAAGATGCTCACCGGAGATGTAGTCGGCATTGCTCGTGAAACAGCTCGCCAACTTGGTCTAGGAACCAACATCTACAATGCTGAGCGCTTGGCGTCACTGGCGCCGGCAAGATGCCTGGTTCCGAGATCAACGATTTGGTTGAAGCTGCGGACGGATTTGCAGATGTGTTCCCTCAACACATACAGTGTGGTGGAAATCCTTCAGCGGCGTGGCTACCTCGTGGCGATGACCGCTGACGGTGTGAACGATGCTGCTTCGCTCAAGAAAGCAGACACAGGTATTGCTGTCGAAGGTGCTTCTGACGCGGCACGCTCGGCTGCTGACAATGTTTTTCTGGCTCCTGGTCTGTCCGCGATCATTGGCGCAATCAAGACTTCTCGTCAAATCTTTCACCGAATGTATGCATATGTCGTTTCTCGCATTGCCTTGTCAAACCACCTGGAGCTACTTCTGGGACTCTGGATGGTGATCATGAATGAGACTCTCGATCTGCGCTTAATTTTTTTCTCGCCATACTTGCAGATATTGCGACGTTGACCATTGCCTATGACAATGCCTCGTGCTCCCAGCTCCCAGTGAAATGGAATCAGCCAAAGCTGTGGGGAGAATCAATTATTCTCGGAATGTTACTTGCCGCCCGGACCTGGGTAAATCTAGGTACCATGTTGCTGCAAGGCGACGAGGGCGGTGTCATTCAAGGCTGGGGCTCGCGGGATGAAGTCCTCTTCCTGGTGATAACTCTGACCCAAAGCTGGCTGATCTTAGTCACTCGCATCACTGCGTCGATGTTCAGCAATCGACCCTTTGCTCTTCTAGCTGGTGCTGTGCTGGTTGTTGATGTGTCCGGGTTTCTGATGGCTCACTTCAGCGCTTTCTGCACACCAACATCGGCATTGACTATCCTCAGAGTCTGGATCCTGGTCTACGGGGTGGGCTGTGTGAACGCGATGGTGTATATCCTGCTGCACGACTCTGAGGGATTTGACAACCTCATGCACGGCCGCAGTCTCCGCAACAAGGGGAAAGATCGTTCCTGGGAGGACTTTGGTAAGCTGAAACCAAATGTTCCTAAGTGTCTACTCCAGGGAACTAATGGATCCAAGGCCTTGCCATGCAACGTATGGCCGCTCAGCATGAAAGAAAAAATTGGGTAGAATCGAAAGGGCCTAAGGGCCGACACAGTCAATGGTCGAATACCATGATAATGAATAGTGTGTAATATGCTTGCTATTGATGCATCTTAACATTGACATATGATTTCGAGAAATGATATGGGAGTCGGGATGGAAAGGAAAGGGAAGGTTTGCGCGAACTGGAGACTCCTATGGCATGGGACTTTCCGTATATTATAACTATTATTCTTACATACTCCGGGCGCTAAGCCAAAAAATGCAGGCATTTTCATTCTGGTTTCTCGTTTCCGGGTTCTCTTTACCTGGTTCTGTAGATCTCCTGCAATGACTGTTGGCAACGTTGCCGTATACTGCATCTTGGCTTCCTCTCGGTTCCGTCTATCGAATCGGTTCCATTACAGATTATCTGAAAACCGAGGATCAAGTTTCAGTTACGTAGTTTATGCGTCGCAGGTAACCCAAGTTTCAACCTTGATCACAAACAGTAAGCATAATCAGATATTGAATTTTGTATGACAAACTCTATGTTCTAATTCGTAGATACAAAGCCACGCCCAGAACTGTAACAAAACGGACATATCGTACTAAATGAAAACAGACAAATCGCCTGTACATGGAACAATTCAAGGGTATTTTTGACCCAGTTATGCTGGCCTTCGTCCTACCCTCGCCAGGTCACCTGACTCATACAACTTCATATCAGGAGATTCATCTTTCTCAATATCCTCGCCTTCATTTTTCATATATCTCTGTTGTCTCCGATACATGCGCCAGAAAACAAGACTGCCGTGTATCTGCGCGGCAGAAAATGCAATATGCAGAAGTGGTGTAACCACCTTGAATGCAAGTCTCCATCGGCTCCATAATGAACCGAACAGCCACATCGTCACAACAGTCTCGGAGAATGTTCCAACTGCAGTGGAAAAGCAGGAAAGGAGAAAGACGCGACTCAGGAAATGGTGTCGTTTAGGAAAGACGCGGTAGAGTATGATTGCGACGTGAGGGAAGAATTCGGAGATGGTATCGAAGGCACCTAAAAAGGCGACCATCGTTAGTATGCCGACAAAAGAAGAAAAAAAGCCACGAAGAAAGTTTGATCGTACCCCAGACGGTACAAAGAACGAACTCAATTTCAGCATCAGGTTCCCTGACCGAACTGAAACTGATAGCAATAGCCGTCTGCCCAATAAGAATCGTCCCAATGTGATGTATAACCGCAACAGGAGACAACTTGACCCGATAGAGCAACTCAAAGATATACATTGCAATCAACGCCTGAGCAACAACAACGAGGATATCACCCATGGTGACTAGGGCATAGGCCGCCTGGAACGTCGCTTTGCTGAAGGTAATGCAGATGAACGGGTATGCGGCCACAATCAGAATGACAATCTTGGTGAAACCGGCAATGTGGTGGTTGACGAAACCGCGGCGGTTGAGTTCGCTCATATCCGTATAAATTGAACCGTATACTCGGCGGATGAGGAAGCCTTCCAGGACGTAGAAGCGGATTAGGAAATAGATCACCAGTGTGACTGATATGATGAGGGCTGAGAAAGGGGCGAGGATGGAGATTGGGCCTAATGCCTTGTCTTTCAATGCCACATGATCTTTCCGGGTTTCGTGCTGCATTGTTGCGATTGTTCGAAGTGAGTTGCCGGATGGTGGATGTCGGTTTCGAAGGTCTGGACATAAGGAGTGACAGAGACAAATAAATGGAGATGGAATGAGTGGCGAGGCAATGCCAATGGGTTGGGTTGAAGAAGTTGAGAGCTCTAATTTGACACTTAGCGGCCTTCACTTTTCGGTTCTTTTCGCTCTAGTTTATTTTTAATTTACGGATTTTCAGTGGGCAACTAGACCAAAATGGTTCGGCTTGTACCTCAACATTCGCAAGTATACAATATCAAGTACAGGGCCAAACCTTTTGTTCGAAGCCTAACGGGAAAACAGGATGTTTCATGCAACAGCGTATAATATTGTGATGCCTACTTCGCCGCCACAAACTGTGTAGGATATTAGGTTTGATAGACCCCTGAAAAAAGTAAAGTACCTCGGGCATTATAAGGAACTGAGTTGCCTGGAGATTAAATCGCTCACTGTACTGGCTCTCCTCGGCTAACATACGGTGGTGTAACAAAAGTATTTGACCTTGAGTACTTCGGCCTATGACCCACTTCTTTAATGCTGCCTGGCAGAAACATCCGAAAACTAATCCAATTTAATAGCTAGTATGCCGCCCTTTATAATTAATAACATAAGTTACCCTATGAGGCATAGTTTCGAACAGATTCATAAAGGTCTTAATATTTAGTCCTTGCTAAACCGAAGAATTGCTAAAACACGTTGATGTATATGCTAGCGCATTGAAACACGTGAGGTTTGGCATACTAATAAAGTAGGCGGTATAAGAGACGGTCAGGCCAAAAAGAGGATCCCGAAGTACTCGAGATCAAATACTTTTGTTACACCACTGTACCACCAAAAAGCCGTCTAATCCAATTTTTATCAATTATTACATAAATTGCCTCTAAACCTCTTTTGCGCAGCGAACTTACCTCCTGCAAAACCGGCCCGAGCCCCAAAAATAGTGGCCCCTCCCACAAGAATTTGACACCCAGCGAAAATGATAGCAAGTGTGATATGACCCATGATTATTGATCATAGCTCCAGAGATAGGCATTCCAGTAAAAGTAGAAATACTCAAAACTCCCAATGCCATTCCCATATGCGAGCCAATCTCATTCGACTTGCTCGCAGTCAGAGCAATGGTAGCAAGGAACAAGTCAATAACGAACCCCAACAACACCGAAAAGGCAATCATCGCACCCTAAGATGTAGCAATCAGCCAACAGAAGATCAAAATCGCACAGATCATCGAAGCCCTGTCAAAGTATTGAATCGCCAAATACGGTTCCCCACCGCGCCACCGGAAAGTCGGCCAAAGAGGGACCCGCGTTGAGAATGGTAATCAGGTAAAAGGACATATCAACACTGAGACCAGTAGTCTCAGCATATCCAGGTACATAGAAAAACGAACACGCATTACGTTTTTCGACGCTTGTAAGGACCTATGATTATGGAAAATGTTGGTGCCGGCTGCCGCGTAGATTGTAAAAGTCACGATACTCACAACCCTGTGAGAAGAGGAAAATCGTTTCTGACGCTGCGAAAGAGCTTTGGTTCGACCCTACCACACTGAACCATAGAAACACACCAAGCGGAGAAATCGCCATGGTTCGGTAATTGAACACCAGATCTAATAAGGAATCAGCTTCATATTACAATAGTCTGCCAGGTGATTGAGTACCCACCAAGGCTGGTCCATATATCCTCCCTCTTTCAGTTGTCCGTATGAGGCTCAGCGCTGTCGCAAGTGCTAGCGGTAGCCCATAGCAAAGAACAAAATACCACTTTTCTAGCCTCTTCAAATCTTCTGCTGAGTACCTCCGGTAAAAAGTAAGATATATATTAATTGCCAGGCAGAAGGACCATAAAGTATCGGTCGGCATCCGACTTCAATTATAACAAGCTACCTGCAACGTTACTCATGCTCAGAGTGAGAGACATTCTATTGGATGAAAATCCCTGTGCAAGGCAGAAGAATCTGGATCTTTTGAAACACCATCCCTGCTCATTAGAGACGCAATGGCGGAGGCGAAATTCTGAAAGGACACATAGAATATTAATCTGTTAACCGGCCTGCGAAAAGCGGCTGAGGCACAATAAGTGGTTATAATGAACGCACAACCAAGCAGTGAAAAGCTCGCTCCGACGATTTCTGCTATCGAAATAGCCCGAAGTTGCTCGCTGGTCAACGCCATAGGGCGTTCTTGTTTGACGCCTTCTGAGAAACATCTTCCGTGAGCTTTCCATTGGGTATTTTATTTGGTAAATCGCTCGACAACCACCAGCCACGTGAATGGTAGGGAGAATAGGTGGCGAGAAGCTTAGCGAATAACCGGAAGAGAGGACTGAGTTCGGACTTTGGAATAATGGTTCCACTAACTGGGCGCTTTGCCCTAACTAACTGGATTAGGAAAGCTTAGCCGTGTCCGATTTCTGGGGAGTATAGGGAAAAGGAGAAACGCTTTCTACATTCTTCCACTCACATGGCTGGAGCCTGCGACCCATGGGCAGGCCAGTCAGATCACAAACTCATGTCAGGCTCAATACCTGCGAAGCTTAGCAAGTTGCTGGGGGGTGGCTTCTGATTTGATTGCCTACATGTCTTATCTACATAAAGTTTAGACTAAAAATGCGGCTTATCCCCAAGCAGGGCGGGTTGTGGAGCCCGGAAGCGTATTTGCTGCGGCAGCGACTGCCCGATTCGAGGAATGAACTGCCAGAACAGGCTTCAGGGGCATGCACTTTGACAGCGGTGTGGCCCTAGCAAGCTATAGTGCCATTAAACTAAATCTCGCCCAATCGCCATTTGGGCATCAACCCACTAAAAGCAATGAGGAACACGAGAGCACTCGAAACACACCAGATTAGCAAAATACAGAGTGATACAAATAGCCACTGGGAAATATGTGAAGCTTAGGCTACTGCGGCTTGCAGATTGATAGGTACGGGCAAATGCAGACCAACGTATCAGGATGCCTCACCAAACGTCAAAAGAACACTTGGGAGACTTCAGATAACTTTAAAGCATGCCTCAAACTCCGTATAAAAGGGAACAAATGGTGTTCCCAATATGTACTGGGTCAGCCCCAATCCCCGAAGATTGCGGGGTCACTAAGACAGCAGGCCAAAGGTGGAAAAACAACTGGATCTCACGACCCTCATTTCGAAACCTTACTCAGCTACGTGAATGGTTCGGAAATGCTGAATTGACAGCACATGGGGGCTATGGCTTTGATAAAATTCTGCCTTCATTGAGCAGTGTGTTTATTTCCTTTGCGATGCATAACTTGCCGAAACCTAAAGAACCCGATATTGATTACCAGTGAAAAATTCCAGTTTGAATATGTGGGGAATGTCACTATTTATAGCAATTACCATAGCACCCGTAACAAATCAAGTTATCTACGAGCAATTTAGCACAAGAGCGACGTAAAAAAATATTGTATATTTATAGATGTAACAACCTAGTGCCTGATTTTGAAAAATGCTTTGCTTTATTCTTAGCATAAAGTGCGCTCCACGGGACAGACAAGCGTGCTGTCGACTTGTTGCACCTTTTGCCGATATAGAGTTTCTCCTTCCCACCAGAGCTTGTAAGAAGCTTGTCAACAACTCACGCTTTCACCACTTCAACACTCACAATCAATCCATTTTGCCCGTTCGCACCAAACTATCGGGATCTTCGAGATTTTGCTTTCATCGTCGCATATCTTTGCTCATTCCTCTGTTCGCATGAGCAGGTAGAAATTTCGGAATTTCGGTCCCCTAGATCTATGAATCGTGGGATCGTAAGAGCTCGTCGCGACTACTTCATCTCTTGAACAACCGCTTTCCCCACCCCACCCGCACAGGCCCTTGAACACTGTAACCCCATCATTTTGTATATTGGAATTCCACGCAACCAGAAAGGTCCCCATCACCCTGAAGCCCTATCTTGATTGATGACGTTCGACATTGACGTGTGTTATCGCCGTCACTTCCCCAATCCGACTCTTCACGGAGTGAAGTACGCGATGGGGTCTCCGGATGCTGCACCAAGTCACCAAAGGTTGGTCTTCCTTTACCAGCGTAAACCGCAACCTGGCCCATACTGCAATGCTAAGCGACTACCAATAATAGCAGAAACCCTTTGCCCTCCCTCAGTTTCCCTGGCAAGGATACTTTGAGGTTCGCTTCCAAAATACCTGTCACCTTGCCCATGCCTTTTTTGAGTCCTTGCGACATGTACTCGGGTCAACATTTACCTTACACCTACGCGCCGTCGGTGAATAGGGCGCTATCGCAACCAGGCTACATCTCCCCGCCCGAGCCACGTCTGATGAACGAAAACGAGAAAGTCAAGGCCGTGCCCCGTCAGTCCCTGCCTTCGATCCACGAAGCCATCAAGATTCCCTATCCCGCTCCTATTTCCGCTCCTCTATCACAAGCCGGGCACTGTGAATTGCCAACCCCAACCCCATTTTTCAATGGCCCGGCGTCTGGCTCCTTGATGCGTGAACCAAACTGTACCCGCCAGAAACAGCTACAGACCGTGGCTTCGCGAAACAGTTTGGCCATGGTTAACAAGTTTGATTCACGGAATGAGTCGATGCACACCTCCAAATCAGGCAAATCCCCGACCCAAAGCGTTAGAACCGGCATTTCATCGATTTCGGGCCCCCAAGATTTCTCAGTTTACGATTATAGTGCACCTCCGTCCACTGACAGTGTGGCCACGCCCAATGACCACAGTCGTTTCCCTTGCACCTTTTCCTTCCGTCAACAGCCGACTGGCCCGTCATACCCTCTATCTTATAATATGCGAGCACATACGGGTGCGCTGCGCGTGGAAGAAGCCAAAGGTGGTTATGTGGGTCGTTCGATTCCTGGTCAACCCCTCCGTGGTTCGGGTAAACGGCATTTGGACGTTTACGACGTGGAACAGTCTCTGAATGAGGTACGGATTCTCCCTTCAATTTCCTTGTTAGCCCTGAGGGTGCCCCCATCTGCGGGATACACAGGCGTGGGAAATTGTCCCCGCCGTCAATTCGTTAAACGTCATCAGCCGTGGGATACTTTGCTTTTTCCTTAAGAGCGTGCAGCTAATTCCTTGATTTGGGACAGATCCGCGAGACAAGCACACGAACACTGCATTTTTCGCGGCACTACGCTGCTCTTGCACACCAAACACAACGGCCTAATCCGACCTCAGGGTACCTGCCCTTGCTCGGAGAAGTGGAGGACATGCTCTGTATGCAGCGTCGGAACAGGGATGCGCTGAATCGGATACGGACCGTCGTGTTCAACCAAGGACAGGACATGGTGGAGCAGATGACGAAGCGCAAGGCGTTCAAGTACAAAGAAGACGAGCTCATGGCCCTGTACCAAGACGAGTTCAAAGGCGCGGGTGGGTTTTCCGGGGCGAACTCGAAGACACTGCGTGGAGTAAGGTTTGCACTTATCTTTTATACTTTATTTACGAATTTACCTCCTTGCGACGTGTATCTCTGCCCATTTATCTGGGTCTATCGTCTTGGTTGAACTGGTGTTCACGCATCCACACATTGCGCTGTCATTGGCTAACCCCATCCACAATAGGCGCCCCTCTTGGCCCTTGCGACAGCTGCAACGAAGCCGAAACGCCAAAACGGTGCCATCGTCAAGATGGTTCCCGAAGGCTGTGTAATGGCCGCGGTGTGCACTACGATGTGCCCTAACAATCCCGGGACAATGAGATCGAAGCTCAAGTCAAAGCCCGTCCTCGACTCCGCATCACCCACCGATCGGTGAAGGCTGTTTCCTCCCTATTACCCCTTTCCTTTCAAGTCACGTTGTAGAAGGCGAGGCTGGAAATAGAATCGACACAACCAGGAGGCAAAAAGGGATCAACTGGCCATTTCCTTTCTTCTCTTGTTTTTCCGTGGACATGTTAGATAACGAATGTTGTTTTCTCATTCTTCCCCTTCCTCTAGTATGCTGTTCGGTTCCGGCATTTTCTGTCTTTCTGTGGGACCTCTTGTACTCGTTGTCAGCAATGCTAGGAGGATCCATGACCATACCGCAATTAAGACCTTCACCATGCAGTACCCCCCTCACTTATACACAACCCCACAAGGCACAATGAAAACCGGCGAAGGGCCATCCCGCTGGACTGGCATTGGTATATTTGTTACAATCGATGCAGCGGGCATTGTTTTCAAGTGTCTCACAAAGTTGGTTGGCATTGGTCATCTTCTACTGGAGACACGGTGCAGTACCGATCTACTTCTGAAGGATTCGGATACGGCTTCGTATCTCTATCTTCGCATTCTTGTTTTCAGACTCCTTGCCGAGGCGGTTGATGGGGGTTTGGTGGCGCCAATGAATGGTCAGCGATGTCGAAAGTCTTTCCGCATGTTTGAATCTCTCGTGTCAAACCATGAAAGTTCTGAGCCATGGAATTAGAGAATATGTTGATGTTATGCTGGGGATACTTGGCCCTGCAGCGCGATAATGCGTGGAAAACATGCGAATTGGCGTGGAGCGCAACGTTATGGGCGCATCGTCCGTCTCAGACTGTTGAGTGCGAGGAGCCTCCGCAACACTTTCCCCCAGTGGACAGGCATTGAGCGCTCTATTCCTTGCGCATGTTCCTCGACCCTACTCCAGTCCCTCTTGCGCTGGGCTGTTCAGGATGTTGGGTGCAACTCACCATCCCCCGCGCTACCGTAGTGTAATATTGTACGAAGTCTTAAGGCTTATGTTGGCATTGTCCAAGCAACTCCAGCAGATAGATACTCGTAATTCCTTGATTTAACAATCTGCAAACCGACGCTCCTCCACCATTCTGATCTATTATTACTTTTTAAATTTGTTTCTCTCGTAGAATTGAGCGAAACCGGCGGAGTGTTAACTGGTTACTACCCGCACCCGCGGTTCCTTGCTGGCCCCCATTTATGTGGGCGTGACCGGGCTAATCGACCGACAATACTAAGACATTTGCCCATAGCAAGACATGGTCTTACTGAGGTTTGGTGGTGAATGAGGACAGTTCATTGCGAGTGGGTTTATTATGATAGTCAGCTGTGTGGTAAAAGCGCTTTGTGTGACCACCAGTGTAACCTCCCTAGAAGCTAGTCTATCGTATCGTAATCTTCTTGGCTATTGATATAAAGATAATGTTTACCAAAGTATGGCTTATTTCTCTTTTACATCCATCCCTCTACGTCTAAATAACGATCAGCTTTGGAATCCGCACAACTCAATAAACCCACTTCTGCCTTTCAGTCGGGACGAGCCCACAAAAGAAAGGGCGAATCTTCAGATCAGTTTGATAAACCAGTTGGTATGCTACAGGGCTTCGAACAGATGACAGATTCTTCAAAACGAGCGTCACCGGATGAAACAAAGGTTAGATTCTATTTTGGCCCATTATGGCCGGCGCTAACCAAATATAGACAGTATCGACAGGTGAAGCATGTTCCCTGACCAGCGATATGACACAGATCCTGCGAAACTGTCATTCTTCGGCGTCCTCTGCCGTTGACCACCTGGACCTGTATCTGAGTCTGTGTGAGTGCTACACGCTCAAGCCAGCCGGCAAATACGCATGGAAGAGGAACGTCGCTACCTGCAAAACTCCCAAAAATGGCTGGTGGCGGAGAATGAAAAGCTTCAACAATGCGGCAATCGCCAAGAACTGCTGCTGTGGGATCGTCATCAGGCCTTTGTGTCTGTACACCAGGGCGTGCTGGGAACATTGTAAAATAGTGACAGACACTCGTGCCAAATAAGTGAGTGAGCTACAATTAGTTCATGCAGGAACGGAATGAGACAACTCCGTCTAACTAGAACAAAGAACATGGTATGACCGGTCTTACGGGCCGGCACGCAAAGACCAGTACATTTTGAACAGTTAACAAAATCATTACCGCTTGCGCCTACATAAATCAGGGGGAAAAAGCAGTACCAAGGATAAGAATTTACTGCACGTTTTTTTTACAGCGCAACTCCTGATCAAATATCACGCCTAGAAGTTTCGCGGTGCGGAACGCTTCGACCATTTTCCCATTCATGATGACCAGGTCTTGGTCTTCTTCGCGCTGTTTCCGGGTGAGAGATGAGTTCCGTTTTCTCGCAGCGAAGAAAGACCATGCTTTTGGTGGATTAAGCGATACATTCTTGGACAGAAGACCGGGGGGTTCAGAAAAGCCCAACCGTTTACGTAGGTTCTTAAGCTGAACGTACTAGAAAGGATGAACGAGGGCAATCAAAGTATGATATTGCGAGTGGTGAATTGAGGGAGTAGTGGTTTAGGAAAGAGGTCTCAGCGATGTCTCCTCTGAGCCATTCAAACTAGCACTGTAGGCTCGACTATATCGTCCGCAAAGGTACAATTCTGGCCTGGAAGGAAATATAAAAGGGCCTCGCTACATGCAGTATTCTAACCCCCGGATTGCTTTATCTATACCATGTTTCATCTAATTTCTGTGATCATGCGCCTTAGCTTGCTTCTCATCCTTGGAGTAGCCATATCAGCCCCTGCTCTGTGGTCAGTTACCTACTACACTGCAAGCGATTGTTCAGGGCCAAGAACATAGATTGGAGATTTTGAAGCTGGGTGCAGATTCTAGAAACCGGCACGGAATCGGTAATGGTCTCTACCAACAGTCACAAAAATATTACCCTGAGCAAAAATACCAACTGCAACACCCCTTATGAGGATGCAATTCCAAGCGAAGTAATCGACCGCTGTATCAATCCCGCTATTCGTTCCTTCCTATCTAGTAAGCGACGTGCTACTTATTCCATCTCAAACAAAATCTGCAAACTAACGTTGTAAGGTCCGTCACAGTAAAGCCATGAGATCATGCTGAAGGGGGTGGAAAACCCTCAATCTGGGGGTCAAGATGAGCCTCTAAAATCTGGTTGTGTCTTACTATATATGTATATGACAGATTTTACATGTATCCAGACTCTGTTGTCTCTTTTTCATTCTGTTCGACGCTGCTATCTTCACCGAAGACGCCAAGTACATTCGCGCTCGGAACCAGTTTCATCGTTTGCTCTCTTATTGTATTCTACGCTGCAGGGTCATGTCTGAGATCTTATTGAGGCGTTGGTAGCCATATCGTTGGTCACAACGACCAGTGGCATTCTTTATTAACTACAAATACTCTATCTTTCCCCTTCCTCCTCGACAGTCACCTCTTCTCGAAGCTTTACTGGGCAAGGGCATCTCATCAGATAAAGCCTTGCCACTCTCTCGCCATCCACTATGTCCTTCCTTTTATGTTAGCTCTGGCGTGGCTGGCCAACGCTACTCCCAACGGAAATACGAAACGCAGAATGAATCGTCGTTGAGTTGAATCCGCGCTAAAAAGGTGAATCTAGGTCGTAGACCTCAGACAGCTGTTGATATTGTTGGGATACAAGGTCCTAGAAAACAGACTTTAATATGATTTTCGGAAGTAGCCAACTCGATAGTAAATTGGTGTGGTTGTGCGGTTGTGCCCGCCAGCTGGCAGGACTACAACCACAGCGGGTTCACTTTTGGCCTCTAACCGCGAATTAAAAACGAACACTACGAGAAGGTACGAATCCATTGTTCGAACAGCCGGGCGAGGACTGTTGCCTAGCGCTAGATCACAAGGGGGCGAAGTCGTACGGAATGGATCGAAATTCGTTTCACCACTGCTATCACAAATTCCCCTCCCCGAACTCCATTATGACACAAGTCACTCTACTTTTGGTTTTAGCACCTTTCAGCTGGTGTACTAGTGCATTGCAATGGAGCATGGACCCGCAGCTCCGAAACAACTAGATGGGTTCACAAAGCACATACATAGTTGAATGCTTGGGGCTTTGGGAGGGAAGCAAATTGACTTTTGTCCTCGGCGGTTTCGTCCAATACCTGCTGGTCCCGCCACCAGACACGCGGCGTAATCAGGCAGCGAGATTGTTCGATTCGTTGAGCCATGGCTAAATCTTTTCACAAGGTTCCAGCCCTACAAAAGCTTCGAGAAAGCTTGTCAACTTTGCACTAGGAAAAGGAAAGGTCTACTGCTAGCGTTTTGCCTCCACCCTCACCCTGGAGTACTTGGACAAGACCGACAAGCTCAGGCAGAGCCCGCCCTTAAGTACGTTATCACCGCCCCCAACTTTCTCCGCATTGTGATCCGGAGAAATTGGAATGGACGAGATATCGGGGATGAGCAGGAATACAACCAAATGACAGAACCGAATGCCCCGAACCTCTGCTGACAACCACGTTCTTCCTCAAACAGCACTCAAGGACGTCCCCAAGCGTGGCAAGAAGAAGGCTCTGCAACAACAGAAGACCAGACTGCTGTGGGTTTTATTATCTTTTCGTATCCGTCATGCGCTGGACGATGAGAACGCCAAGGGACCGTGCTTATCTACCTAGAGAGATCATTCTCCTCACGGCGGAGAATCTCAATCCTCGTGATCAATTGTCACTCTTACACGCCGTTCCTGACCTCGCCCGACTCGTGACATTCCGACACACTTCTATCAAGGACGAAGAAGGGAATACGGTCTTACACCTGCTGGCAAGAGAAGCTGAAGGCAGACTGAAAGAGCTACTACTAGCGAAGAATAGTACTCAAATCGACCCGAAGAACGAGAATGGTCGAACACCAATGTCTTACGCAGCCATGTGTGGACATGAGGCGGTGGTGAAGTTGCTACTGGGGCGAGACGATGTCGAGGCAGACTCGAAGGATAATGATGGTCGGACACCACTGTCATTTGCAGCTGGGGGTGGACATGAGGCGGTGGTGAAGTTGCTACTGGGGCGAGACGATGTCGAGGCAGACTCGAAGAGCAAGTACGGTCGGACACCACTGTCCTATGCGGCTGGGTCACTGTCTTTTGCAGCTGAGTATGGACGTGAAGCGGTGGTGAAGCTACTGGTTGAGCGAGATGATGTGGAGTTGGACTCGATGGATAATGATGGCCAGACACCACTATCATGGGCAGCATCGCGGGGACGTGAGGCTGTTGTAAAGCTACTGGTTGAGCGAGAAGATGTGGGGGCAGACTCGCAGGATAACATGGGTCGGACCCCACTGTCACTGGCAGCTCTGTGTGGACATGAAGAAGTGGTGAAGCTACTGGTTCAGCGAGATGATGTGGAGGCAGACTCGCAGGATAACATGGGTCGGACCCCACTGTCGCGTGCTGCTGAGGGTGGATATAATGAAGTGGTGAAACTGCTACTGTGGCGGGAGGATGTGGAGGTGGACTTGAAAGATAATGATGGCCGTACACCACTATCATGGGCAGCATCGCGGGGACGTGAGGCTGTTGTAAAGCTACTGGTTGAGCGGGAAGATGTGGCAGCGGACTCGAAAGATAACAATGGTCAGACACCACTGTCGCGTGCTGCTTCTAATGGGCGTGAATTGGTGGTGAAGTTTCTGGTGGAGCGAGATGATGTTAACGCGGACTCGAAGGATGAGTACGGTCAGACACCACTGGCGCACGCAGCCGGAGATGAGCAGGATTTCTTCGGTTCAACACAGCTATCATGGGCAGTTGAGCGGGAATACAAAGAAGTAGTGAGGCTACTGGTTGAGCGAGATGATGTGGAGGCGGATTCGAAGGATAAGTGCGGTCAGACACCACTGTCGTGTGCTGCTTTGAATGGACGTGAAGCGGTGGTGAAACTGCTTCTGGAGCGAGACGATGTGGAGGCGGACTCGAAGGATAATGATGGCCGGACACCACTAACATTTGCAGCTTGTGGTGGACATAAAGAAGTGGTGAAGCTACTGGTTCAGCGAGATGATGTGGAGGCAGACTCGCAGGATAACATGGGTCGGACCCCACTGTCGCGTGCTGCTGAGGGTGGATATAATGAAGTGGTGAAACTGCTACTGTGGCGGGAGGATGTGGAGGTGGACTCGAAGGGCAATGATGGACGGACACCGCTGTCGTACGCATCTCTGGGTGGAAATGAAGAAGTTGTGAAGCTACTGTTGAGCGAGATGATGTCGAGACGGGCTCGAAGGATGAGTACGGCCTGACACCACTATCATTGGCACGGACAGAAGCGCTGCTAGAGCTTCTCAACTCACTGTCATACATACCCAGTAAAAATTCAAGCAGATATACGAGAGCATGGTCAGGTTCAAGAATAGCAGGATATGATTCCTGACGTAGCATTGCAAGTGCGAAGCAATGCAGGCTCACGGCTTAATGTGAAGACACAATCTCTCTGAGGATGTTGCTCATTCAGTGAGGTTGCTTACTAGTAAATATATCTTTGGTGCACAGCAACCTTGTCAGCATTAGCGACACCAGTGAACAACACAGCAACTTATTCCGCTTTGTGTCTTTGCCCGAGATGAATACTTAATTTATAGAATAGCATCATTTGGTGAAGGTAAGTGCACCCCAGCCGGCTCTGCTTGAAGGCCACCAAGAACCAACTAGCCCTATGGAGCCACGCATGTCTCGTCATTCCTGAGAACTTGCTTGTCTCTCAGGACCGCTTCCTACACCGATTAAATAAAGCAGCAGTAGCAAGCGTAGGTGAGCAGAAGTCCCTAAGTGCAATATTCAGAAAGTAGGTGATGAGACCGGACCGTTACAACGTAGACAGAGAGTACATGTCGCTGTATAGTTTTGAACCGTTTGATACCCCTCTCCCCCCCCCCACTAAGCACGCCTGAGTTCTTTATCAACATTAATTTCGGCACCTCGATCTAGCAGCATCTGCACTATCTTTTCATGGCCTCCGGATAATGCGGCTTGGAGTGCACTGCCATAATGTCCACCTTGGGCGTTGACATTGGCGCCTTGATCCACCAACGTCTGCACTATCTTTTCATGGCCTCTGGATGATGCGGCTTGGAGTGCATTGCCGTACAGTACAGCTTGGGCATTGACGTCGGCACCTCGATCTAGCAGCATTTGCACTACCTTTTCATGGCCTCTAGATGCTGCGGCCTGGAGGGCATTGCTATACCGCCCACCCTGAGCGTTGACATCGGCGCCTTGATCCACCAACGTCTGCACTATCTTTTCATGGCCACTGGATGATGCGGCGTGGAGTGCATTGCCGTACAGTGCAGCTTGGGCATTGACGTCGGCACCTCGATCTAGCAGCATTTGCACTATCTTTTCGTGGCCTCCAGATGCTGCGGCCTGGAGGGCATTGCCATGCTGCCCACCCTGAGCGTTGACGTCGGCACCTCGATCTAGCAGCATCTGCACCATCTTTTCATGACCTCTGGATAATGCGGCTAGGAATGCATTGCCATAAGCTCCACCTTGGGCGTTGACGTCGACACCTCGATCTAGCAAAATCTGCACCACCTTCTCATGGCCTTCGGATGATGCGGCTTGGAGTGCATTGTCATAAAGTCCACCTTGGGCGTTGACGTCAGCACCTCGATCTAGCAGCATCTGTACCACCTTCTCATGGCCTCCGAACAATGCGGCTTGGAGTGCATTGCCATAAACTCCACCTTGGGCGTTGACGTTGACGCCTTGATCCAACAGCAACTGAACCACCTTTTCATGGCCTCTGGATGATGCGGCTTGGAGTACAAGGCTATAAACTCCACCTTGGGTGTTGACATCGCCGCCTCGATCCAGCAGCATCTGCACTATTTTTTTATGAATTGAGGCGGCCTGCAGTGCATTGATGTACTCTCCACCTTGAGCGTTGACGTTGGCACCTCGATCCAGCAGCATCTGGCGTTCTAACAATAGTGTATTGTGATACTCTTCATCTAGTGTGTTGATGTCGGCACCTCGCTCTGAAAGCAACTCTGCAATCCCTGATACGATTGCGGCCAGATCAGCCATTGTGATTGCTAGTCGTCGCTTGAGATAGATATAGATTCAGATATCGATTAATGCGTGAAATAGCCACAATCTCAGAGTCAAGTTTCAGTGTCTGCGAGCGGCTCAAATCTGGTTTGATTGATGCCCAAAGTTGGGTTGGCGTTTTCTTATACATTGATCTAAGTGGTAACTTGTATTTTACCACTGACAGGTTGATTCGGCGACTCCCCACTAAATTATGTGATTTTTATGGTAAATCGGGTCAATTCGGAACGCCAGTGCTTTAACACGCTAATACAAGCCGCTTGGGCATACACCTGAGTGACCGTCTTAACAGCGATCGTAGTATTCCAACTACGCTACCTGGGGCAGCCAGTCTTTCCATCGAACCTTGTGCCCTGTATTCTAAGCGACGGGCGGAAGACTCCCCACGTATCAATACTCTTAAGGATCGGGCTCCACTTACCGATGGTGTGGGGAAAGATACGTTTCGCTCATACCAGTGCGACACTCCTGCACTCTTCTAAGATTTCCTTGTTTGAATTGTTTACGCGCGTATCAACTGCAACACTCCTTACGAGGATACCATTCCGAGCGGAGTAACCGACCGCTGTGTCAATACCGCTATCTGTTCCTTTCTATGGCGTAGTACACAGTATGCCGCCAGATTGCAGCACCCGCACCTCTTCGCGCCTCCTATTCTGCCACAAAAATCTTACAACACACTATTTCCTCAGGCCCCTAGAAGCTGCTATTACGGCTCTCTTGAGTTTGTGGTATACTGAGAGATTTTGGCTAGCTTCATGGATTACACTTTGTTACACTGTACGGCCAACTTAAACGGTCTGTTCGCATCTTTTTAGTTCGGCTGCTGGTTCCTGTTCCCCCGTAACTTTAAGTATGCCATTGCCTCATTGCCCATGCTGCTATAGCTGCTCACGCCGTAGTAAGACCCAATACTCTGATGATTGCTTATCTGCGTCGACGTTGTCTATGCTTAGGTTTTTCGCCCAATTTTTCGCCCAGCGTCTTTAGAATGACCTGGCTCATAGATGGAACGATAGCGTTGCAACACCGTGAAGTCTTCATCGGCTTGCGTCAATGTGAATTCCTCGATGAGTTGGCCATTCTCGTCCCAACTCTTCTTCCAAAGAGCAATTCCGTACTCGTAGTCCCCGTCCTCGGCAAGCTGCCCGCTCTTGTGCCATTCCCGAGCGTTTCCGTGCAACACCCCTTTGAAATAGCTCGCCTCGTGCATCAGTTGTCCTGGTCCATACCATTCCTTTGTCGTACCCCAAAGCAGTCCGTCGTGGATTTCGGCCTCCGAGTTTTCCCAGGCGCCGCCCTTCGTTGTATAGGAAACTCCGGAAAATGGCTCGCCATCAAAATAGTAAAGACCATCACCAGGATACCCGATCCGATCAGCAAGAACACGTTGCATCAAATATACCTTTCCGTCGGTTAGGGCCAAGATGCGGAAGCTGGAGAGTATCATGGAGGCTTACCGGATTATGAAGGATGCTAAGGATTCTTTGGGTCTGCTTTTCTCTGAAATTGCGCAGCGTAGAAATTATTCGCATGAGTTGGATGGGTATGCACAGTACGGCAAGCCATCGGGATCCATTTCAAAATTTCAAAACCCCAGTTTGGCCAGATGCTTGCTTTACCGCTAATGAGACCGCCCAAGTGGCATGAATGTATCTGCGCCTTTCTGCCCACCCAATATGCCTAAAGCCGCTAATTTTGGCGAATCTGGCCAGGCCCATGAAGCCACCCGATGCGGAAACGCCAAATTGGACTAGGATTGTGCTTGAATACAGCATTCCTCGCATGATCTTGCGCGACCGCCTTACGAAGGGCACGAAGCCTCGTACAGCGAGCCGACCGGTCAATAACGTCCTTGACAGCGCCCAGGAGGAATCCTTGACGTGCTGTATAGGCCAATTGAATGATTAAAATATGCCACCACCGCCTAGGCTGATCGAGCTTGGGCGAATCGCTCACTTGCACGTGCTGGTAAGCCTGAACAGAAGGTTAGCAAGATGTGGGTATATCGCTTTATTAAGCGTCTCCCGTCAGACCTACAGCTAGGCCCAGTGAAGCAGCGTACGAAGAAGCCTAAGCATATCCAAGCAGAAGATGCCAGCCTATTAGCCCACTGGTACGATCTGCTTGCAAATCTGCATAAAGGTATACCTTACGGCTAGTATTTGACTTTGATGAGTGTGGCTCCCGGCCAGGTGAGGGCAAATATCGGAGCGTGGTTGGCAGGAAGAATAGGAGATCTCGGCCTGATCTTGCTGAGACAGAGCGAGATAAAAATATTACTGCGCTTGAATGCATTTCTGTCGATGACTGACCGATGGATCCGCTATTCATATACAAAAGCGGCAGGGTCTTCATGAAGGCCTGATTCTACGGCAGCGAAGGAGACCACATACAGTAACTGACTGGACATAAGTAGTTGCCCCCCGCCCCACACCTCCTTATTACATAACATTCTGCCAGCCATAACGTATTTCACATGCGAGCGGCGCGCACAAGCGAGCGGCGCAGTCCGAAACACATAGTAAATGCAATATATTTTGCACTTATATTTCAACAACCACATTATTATTTGAATTCATTGTCAATCGATAGCTATCGATAAGACTTTTTAACACTATATATCAATTTCAAGAAAATCGAAAAGCTGCATTATTGGGTATTGAAAATTATGTTACTCAAAGCCAGAAATATATATATCGCAATCATAAAATCATAAATATTTTCCAAACTCCCTAGAGAAGCTAGATATCACCTAAAAAACATTCAGCTATTAGGAAGACTCCACATAGACTACCGTTGTTGAGATATCAAGTTGTAATTTATCGCATTTACTACGTGTTTCGCACTGCGCCGCTCGCATGTGAAATACGTTAAACCTCATGTAATTAAACTGGTAAGGTGTATACCAGCCCTGGCAATACGGCATATCTCTGAGAGATGCTCCAAATGCTTTACAACTCAATCATCCCATGCCCGCTGAACAGAAGCTAATTACCAACCCCTTCTTTATTAGATCGTTGATCCATTTAGGAAGGCGGTATTGGCTTCGAGACGATGTGGAGGCGGATTCGAAGAACAAGAATGGTCAAACGCCACTTTTTCACGCAGCTGAGTGTGGACATAAGGAAGCGGTGAAGCTGCTACTGGAGCGAGACGATGTGGAGGTGGACTCGAAGGATAATGATGGCCGGACACCACTATTACGGGCAACTGATTGTGGATATGAAGAAGTGGTGAAGCTACTTGTTGAACGAGATGATGTGGAGGCGGACTCGAAGGATAAGTACGGTCAGACACCACTGTCGTGTGCTGCTTTGCATGGATATAAAGCGGTGGTGAAGCTACTGGTTGAGCGAGGTGATGTGGAGGCAGACTCGAAGGATAATAATGGCCGGACACTACTATTACGGGCAGCTGAGTGCGGACGTGAAGCAGTGGTGAAGCTGCTTCTGGAGCGAGACGATGTGGAGGCGGACTCGAAGGATAATGATGGCCGGACACCACTATCATTTGCAGCTGGGGATGGACATGAAGCGGTGGTGAAGCTACTGGTTGAGCGAGATGATGTGGAGGTGGACTCGATGGACAATAATCATCGGACACCACTATTATGGGCAGCTCGGCATGGAAATGAAGCGATGGTGGAGCTTCTCAGCTCCCTGTCATAAATACCCAGTAGAATTCCAAGCAATTATGCGAGAGGATGATCAGGCCCCAGAATAGCAGGAGATGATACCTGACGTAACATTCCAAGTGAGAAGCGATGTAGGCTCATGGCTTAGTGGAGAGACAACCTCTCTGAGGATATTGCTAATCCGCTGAGGTCGCTTACCCGTAAAGGAAGGAGTGTGTGTGTGTGTGTGTGTGTGTGTGTGTGTGTGTGTGTATATATTTTACGGCCGTGGCTCGTGAATTGCACGCTATCCACTATCTTCGATCGAGGCAAAGGCAGCCAGGGGGTGAGCCCTGGGTGTCTCCAACTGTTGCTAGTTCTATGTAAAATTTCGGCACGTTCACATAGCTGCCTGAGTCAGAAAAAGGGTCTGCTATAGCAGGTTACATGTTAATGCGAGTTGCATGGATCCGTCTTCGCACCATGTCCCGCCAATCCTCCGCCTCTCTACTGTCTTTCCTTCTTCCATTTTTTTTTTTTTTTTTTTTTTTTTTGTATAGTTCAAGTATGCTCAGGCAGGTGCCGTCCTGGACAGATGTTGGCAAAGATACGAGTCTCTGGTAGCCCTGTAGAACATATATGACTGATCCGACCGAGAACAGATCGGGGAACTGGAGAGTGGAAGGTGGAGTCTCAACCACCAGGGTCTGGGGGAAACCAGAAACCTTTCAATATGATCCCCATCTGGTCACGACATCTCACCCCACCGACCACTGTGTCGTCCAGCCAAACCAACCCACATCGCAACGTGAAACCCCTCTTCCCCATTTTGACCACCTACTCAACCATCGCAACCAGAACTATCTCATTTCAACGCCAGCTCCTCACTGGTATCACATCTCATCAGCTCCCCTCGTGGACTTCGGTTAAACCCTCTTACGCTAAGGGTCATATTGACCGGCGCATTGACTGGCGCCTTCTATGGCTAGCACTTTCGCTAGAGTTCACACAGCAATTTTACAGAGACTCCTTTTCAACTATTATTACGGTGTATTCTTAGGTTATGTACTGCTGAACTATGGTATGAGCGGCGTCTGGATGAGAACCTCCACCTTCATTGCGCACTATAATTGTGCTGCTTATGGTGAAAGCAATGCTTGGATACACTTCTTGCATAAATAATCTTCTCATCACGTCAGGGTGTTTAATGCGCCCATTAAGACACTGTTGGAGTTCCAGGCAGCACTGTATCTTGTCAGGTGGTCCTATGTAAGGACTCAGATGATGGGTGCCCCACATGGCTTCATATCGGTATTGAAGACTCCCTGGATATAGAAAACCCATGATAATGTTTCTTTGTCTTTTTTGGTAATCTTGATGTCTCTCCAGGAAGTGCAAAATTTCCTAGAGGAAGCGTGATCGTAGTCTTCGTTGAAAGGATGGAATAGAACTGCTTTCATCTCTTTGACTGGTTAGTTGGCGTAAGCAAAAGGCTTCATGCTTACTTACCACGGGCATTCATCTCGCGAGGACGCATGTATCTAAGTTCTTCTGGCCGCCAACTCGGTCTCTTCACATACGGTGGCCGTTTAGCATTTGTCATAATAAGATATCCAGTTATTAAGAAGATCACGACACATTCTTGAATCCAGGCTGTTGAAGCTTGCTTGATAAAATTCCTTCAAAGTTCGAGGGGCACGGAGTCGCTTTTGCGACTGCCCTCGGCGACAGAGTACCCTTATGACTTGTTTTGCTATAGCGAGATGCTTCCCCTTGGCATTTCTGAGTACCTCTGAGTACATAGTATCAGTAGTGTTTCTGAGAGACCCTGGCCTACATACCGTTTCCGTTGTTTTTGCTTCCCATATGCACCGCAGTATTTGCATCAGAAGCTGCGAGGCCTTGGTATAATTTACCGCTGCCAAAGCGGTGTGTAAGATTGAACTTCGAAAAAATACCTGGAATGAATTGCGAAAACTTGATGTATAACCAGCGTTTCACCAAGACCAGTTGTTGCGTCTGTGATCGAAAATGCTCTTCGCCTTGTTAATAAACGGAAAATAATTCATAGAATGCAGACTCACACGCAGTTGATGCCGGCGGTAGAATGGTCAATGGGTAGTAGGCTGCGGCACTATCCAAATTATCGGCAGATAATCGATTATCGTATCCGTAAATTGCGGATAACGATATAAATTCATTATCGAATTATCCGCAACGATACGATACGATAATTATATTTTCATTTGCGGATATCCGCGGATTATCGTACGATAACAAATATTGCAAACATGCTAAGACTCGTGACCCGAACGAGTTTGCATAAATTATGCATTTTCCCCGGTATTTTTTGGAGTATTCAATGTGTAATTGATTGTATATTTGTCACGCGAATGAGTGGCCTACGATATTTTCTCCAAATTAACCTACTTTGTCTCGCTTTATTGCAACAGCATCCAATTATTCAAGATTATATTACAGGTTATCAAATTCAAATCCATCTGGCTGCTTTGGCTTCTTCCGAATCCTCCCTGATCTCCCCTGCGTGGACCCTTCAGTTGGCATTTCAGGAACCGGGAGGTCATTATCACCATCATCCTGAGGCTCAACGGCACTATGAGGCCGCTTGCGCCGTGGTTGCTTGCCCTGGGCTGTAACCGGTGTAGGAGTCGCCTGCTCAACTGTATGATTATCTCCCAAATCATTTTCTGAATCATCCGATCCATCCTCCGCTTGGTTACTATCTTCTTCGTTTTCACTTATTGGCTCGATATCGTTAAGCGACGGAGTTGGCTTCCATGTCTGATCGAGTATGGCAGCCTCTCCACTAGAGA